GTTCTGTTACCCAGTTTAACAAACGTAATCATTGAGGGTTAAATGTACGAATCCAGGAGTACTGTTTTGACATGCCTAACATAAGAGTTCGCATATTAGAGTGTTATGCTTAGAGATTAAAGTTGCTTAACACAGAAGAGTCTGAGTGGTGCCTTCCGAAGATCATGCGTAAAAATCTTAATCATAAGAACTGTATCCTGCGGTGAGATCTGAATCTTGAGACCTGACATAAACACTAAAACATAATCAGTAAAAGTTAAAGCGAGAATCATTGTATTATCCTGATTGATAAGACAACCCTAGACAATGAAGCCGAGCTTAATCAGCATACTTACATCACATTTGCATAACTTCATATAATTCAGTGTATTATCCCGATTAATAATACAACCCTTGACAACGATGCAGAGCCAAACTATCATAATTACATACATTAGCATAATCGCATACACTTGCATAACTTAATACAATTACACCTTCCTAATTAGCATAAATGATTTGCATAATAACATACATTTTTGGATAATTACACATTTATTTTATTTTTATTTTATTTTTAGAATTTTTATGAATTTTCAAGACCCAAAATATACAACAGGTGACATCAACCGCATTGATGAGGGTCCTTACAGTGAGGGAAAAAAGTATTTAATCCCCTGCTGATTTTGTACGTTTGCCCACTGACAAAGAAATGATAAGTCTATAATTTTAATGGCAGCCTTCCGATTAGTCCATCGCCGTGAATCGTGCAGCTCAACGTGAACGGATTGTGGAGCACAAAATGCGACTATCTTGTGAATGTTTTGAGGACAGAAGACATCATGTCCTGGCGCTGCATGATAGTGCACTTGAGAAGTCAAGGCTCCTCCTGGAAGATTCGCGGATACTGCCTTGTGACAGTGAGCCACAACCCCCGAAACGCTGACTGGCATCCTTTGTTACAGAAGACATCAGAGACACCATTCAAGTGCTGGACATCCCCGCTTTCCTGAACTATCGCGATCAAGATCAGCGAACTGGCTGTGGTGAACTCGTATCAATCACGTCCCACAGAATGGTCACGGCCAACGCTAACCAACAGTGAATGAACACCTCAATACCACACTCAAAACATATTTGTATTGTTAAATGCTTTACAGAGCGTTTACTCATTTTAAGTGAATACGTAGTTTACTGCATATCAGAATGCACATTTTGTTTTATTTAAGACTGATAAATTGGATACCAAGGGCAAAGATAAAACTTGCTTGAAATGTTCAAAGTATTAGCCAATCCCATATCATAGGTTTGGTCCGTACACTCCTTGAGAGCATCTCTAATGCTTTTGAAATGATCGTGAAGCCCAGGCGATCATCACTAAGTGCATTGCGCTAATTCTAATCCTGCGGTCGGGGCCGTGCCGGCACTCAGCCGCGATTGAATGTGGAGGTCACGTAAAGAACGAAATACCACGCTCAGAGAAATTGTTCAAGAAAGGTACGGGCAAGAAGGCGTGACAAGGGGATGTGGGATTTTAAACCATTAAGTAAACTTTTCTTTATTTTTCCAGATAAAGACCACTCAGCTGTATAGTTTTTTTTCAGAAGCGACCTGGCAGCAAATGATAGCCCCATGAAGTGCCTTATAATTTTAGAAATTTATAGCAGCCAAATACTCTAAACGCACATTTATAAATGCGTTCAGAGAAGACAAATAGTTCTCTACTTTAGCCCACCGGTGTGTTGAAGAGTGATTCAACATCATTTACAATTTTTGAGTACGACGTTTCGCTGGTAATTACATCCAGCATCATCGGGCAATTTGCCAGAATAGTGAAGCCCTCCACTCGCTCCCGGTCTTAAATAGAGTAGCACGGTGACGTCATCATTTAACCCAATCTGGTGCAGTGATTTGAGGCAGAGAGGGGGAGGGTATTATAATTATATCATATATTGGTAATCATTCAATTGTTATTAATTAGTATTTGTGTCCCCTATAAGGAATTGCAATTGTAATATATATTTTATTTAATAATACGCTTCCAGGCCGCACTAAGCCTGTAGCTGTCAGAGCGATTAAAGTTATTTGTATTTATCTCAATTTCAATGGATTCTCTAATTAGTTTTGGCCAGTAATGATTAGTTTTACACAACACTTCAACGTTATCAAAATCAATTGAGTGTCCTTGTTGACAAGCATGTTTTGCCGCTGCCGACAGTTGTCTATGAGATAATTTAACATTTTTTTGGTGTTCTTTTATGTGGCAGATGCTATATTGGTCAGACAGAACGTAACATCAGCGTAAGAGGATTACGACACATTTATAAATAACACTGAAGGTGCAGCCCGCATTCTGTCGCTGAAGTCAATGTTAGTGGAACGGGCTTCCTCTTCAGGGGTTTATTTACAACGTTTGTAGAAGTCACGTCGTCTTTGCTAAGTACGCGTCACATTACACCCTGGGCACTCTTGCAAACGAGATCTTCTATCTGCAGGGATAATCCAGGTGAAATATTTAAACGAATAATATATATAAATAGAAAGGTGTCATTTGGAGCCTACTCTTCCAAACTGGCCAAGACGTCTTGCATCATGGAAGAGGTGGGGGAGGAGGTGTACCCAAACTTTGCCCCACCACACGTGACCTGCCGATCGACATAACTCTGCAGCACACAATTGTACCGCTTGATACGTAGAGGCCAAGGGCGGGTTCATCAACTGCCGCAACAGGGAGATCGAATGAACCCGGCGATCTGTGGATTATGAGTCCAGTCTGTGAACCATTACACTCCAGCAGCCTCCTCGAGCATACCTTGTGGGGCCCATCGTAACACACACTCAAACTTTTCCCATCTCTTCTAGATTTAAAGCTTTCGTGACTGCAAGGATTCATATTCTTAGGTTTTTTTCGGTAAAGTCACGTAGGTAAAAAATGAAAATTAATAAAAGTAAAATAAAATAAAAAATAAAAATCACAAATTATGTCTAATAATTTCAACCGTGATGATGGTTACAAACTGAGTAATCATTGGAAAGATGTGATTAACCATGCAAAAAAGATTTAACTACACTTATTTGGACCATCTTATTTGACAGACAACTATTACAGGTTATTGATAGACAGCCAGTCTTGTTTTACCAGGTTTAGTTTTTTATTTTTTCACACTTTTGTTATGTAGGCTAGGCGTAGTCACAAACCGTACCTCTCCATAACAAAGGCTCAGTCTTTTGTTATGCAGTCTATTCTTAGTCTTAAGCCTCACCTTACCATATTAATAAAAAGTGTGCCGTACTTGGCCCTTCCCCTCTTCAACCATTATATATACGGAGTGATAGCTCTTGTAATCTCTCATTTACTTGATACAGCTGTCGTGGCTGTGACGGTTCCACCTGAAGACGGAAGCTTGTGTTGCCTCCGAAACGTCGTGATTTTTATTTTTTTATTTTATTTTACTTTTATTAATTTTCATTTTTTACCTACGTGACTTTACCGAAAAAACCTAAGAATATTTTCCCATCTCCTGAGTCTGCATGTTTTTCCTTCCGATATTAGGAAGCCACTGGAGCGATGCACTTTTAAATCACGGAGTTTGAAAACTGACGTCTTTAGAACTGCATTTTGTGTATAGTTCATTCGATCTTCCCCTGCACCGCCGATTAGTATGGTTGGCTACGTACGGTGCGAAAGAAGTTCAACATACATGCTGGACCAGTGGTAGAAATTACACATTTATATGGCAGGGACCAGTTTTTTAATCTAGTGGGCACTGCCTCCTCTGCAGGTGCCACTTATCCGTAGACGGGTCGCACGGAGGGGAGCGGTGCTCAAGTGGTTTGCGCACTGAGCAACGATACAGGAGTGAATGCGCATCATTGTTTGTAAGATCATATTGTTATCGTTACCTTATATTTACTTATTAATTTGTAACACTTGCTGCTGTGTTTGTCTGCTGGCCGAGTCACCTTTGGTAACGAGCTGTAGAGTTCAATGTGTTATTGACTTGGCTAATCAACTTCTTATTCTATTTCTGAACCCCGGCCCCCCACATACGATTCCCGACCATGGCGAACATCAAACAGCAAGAGGATTCAGAACTAATGCCCCCACCCTCGTCGTGAGCAGGAATTGAACTCGGGTGGCCGGGTTCGTAGCACAACGGGCGAACCGCTGCGCCACCGCTCCCCACCCTTTCAAACAGATACCCCGTATAGCCTGAACAAACTGTTGGGGAAGGGGCTGTTAGCGAGCACCTATGAAGGTGAGAATAGCACACGAAAGGGTGGGTGGCCAGCACCACACCCAGCCTCCTTTGTCTCCATAGTGGCGATGTTTTTACGCACCGCACCAGATACTCATTTGAGGCTAAGTCGACCTAGGGGAGGTCCATGACCGGTTCAGATAGGCGTCGCTGATGTTGTCCGTGAGCGGGAATCGAACTCGGGTATTCGAGTTCGTAGCGCAATGCGCCAACCACTGCGCCACCGCTCCCCACCCCTCCACCCCACTCGTCACGAACACTGACCCAGCATGGTGGTCAAGTATGGTCTAAACAGCTCCCACAACCAACGTGGCGTCGGGATTCCATAATATATTGGTAACGATGCTGGTGGGTGATGTTAATGAATGATGCTAATGTTCATCATGATTATGATGATGATGGCAATGGTGGTAATGCAATTAATGATGGCGATGGCGCTGTTGTTGATGTTTGATGACTCAATGTTAATGATGATGACGTGGTTTATGTTGTTCATGACAAACAATGATGACAATGATGATGACGGAATCACGCTGCTTTGAATATTAACTCACGAAATCGCGACTGTGAACGTTAAGCCGCAGATAATATCAGCTTCCTCGTTGTAAATTTATGCCTCGTGGCTCAGCAGGTCTATGCCTCCCTCAGCTCTGTCATTGACCACTTGCAAATTAGGGTGTCAAACTGAACCCGGGGTCATCGCTCCCTCTCGATATATATAATCAGTGGTGCTACCGCGCTGTCTGAGACTAGTACCCCGCTCCTTAGAGGGCTCAGTGCTGATGCCTCTGTAGAAGTCTGTAGACAGTTCAAATATCTGCATTGAGTGTCAGATGTTTTCTTTCCTCACCATTGGAGTCTAATCTTGCCAATTTTATAATAATTATTATCGCTAGTTCGTGTGATAATTATAATACACGTTGTAAGAGTGTAGCATATCAACGCAATCGCATCTCAAAGATAAAACTATTGGGCTGATTATCTCAACGACTCTCAGTTTAGCTCTACAGATGAGTTCTGTCCATTAACCACGCCACAGCTCATCGCGGGCAGGTAGGTAGGGGTTTAATGCTTATTGAAGGGAGACCCTAGAGGCAGACTCTCTACCACCACCGACATCTGAGCTCCCAAACGCATAGACGGGCAATGACGAAGCCTCAAGCATCACGGAAGTCCTCAAAGCCGCCAGAGAAAGGAGAGGCGGGAGCTGTTGAATGGAAATGCGAGTGCCCTTGTGCGGATGAACGCAGGGACGTGCAGATGAAAGCACAATCAGAAGAAGTGGAGCCCCAAACCCAATGCGAGAAGTAAGTTAACGTTTCACCACCACCACAATCACCACAACCAAAACCAGCACAATAACAATCACCACAACACCACTACCAACAGCACAGTACCAACAACACTACCACCATAACCACCACGAAAGAAAAATATCCCCCTCATTGCTTAAACAGATTGTTGGCCCAAGTGCTGTTATCGAGCACCTATGAAGGTTGGAGCGGCACACTAGGGACTGGGTGGCCAGCTCCACGCTCGGCCGCTTTTATCTCCCTAGTGTCGATGTTTACAAAAAAATACTCATTTGAGGTTGAGTCGACCTAGGGGAGGACTAGGACCGATACAGATAATCGTCTGTACGAGTAGAAGTTAGCGTGCTAGCGTGCTAACTACCACTCTACCACTCCCTACACCACAACCACCCTCACAACCACCACAACCACAACCGCCATCAATTATCGTGAGCATCAGCCATGATCCATCCACTGCTGGATGAACACCGCCTCGAGTCGGTGTCATCTCTCACGGTGCTTTGTGGAATGTGCTCGCCCGTCGACGAGAACATTTCATTGCTCCGTCTATCAGACGGACATCCTCCCGGACGCGTTCCTGTTCCTTCCTTTGCTTCGTCAGTCCGTGAGGATTTTTTTGACCATCGGCCACCATCAACGATTCGCGAAGATGCATTCCCAAAAAACCGCGCACCACTGACGCACGCTTCGACGTGTCAGACTTGAACTCGTGCGTGCGTACTCTGATCCGCGTGCTCGATATTTTTTTGTTTTGGTCTCTCGATGCAATTCCAATCACGCATCTCTCCATTCATGCACACGTGACTCAGAACCGTATTCATATCCTGTATATTTATTTTAATTAGACATATATATACATATTTGTATACATAAATGTATATATATGGCTACATATATGTATATATGGAATATATGGAAATATGTTTTCGCACCTCCAATGAGCACGGTTGGATCTGTACGGTGCGAAAGAAGTTCAACGTACATAAATGTACCTATATACGTGTCTTAGTATTTAGCGCCTTATATATTTAGGTCCCGAAATCACGGGCTTGCAATTTAACGTTATTTTCGTCGGCGTTTTTGACAATGACGCGAGAATATTTCCACGACCGATTATTGCTCCGACACGTGAACCATGCCTCCAGGTACGTTAAGTGAAGAATACTAAATCAGCTGATTAAAACCAAGAAAATAACTATAAACTATTTATTTTACAAAGTAAGGCCCACTGTGCTGTAGAGGTATTTTCACAAGCGACCTGGCCACAAATGATAGCTCAAACAAATGGCTCATCATGTGGGAATTTATAGCAGCCAAATACTCTAAACGCGTGATTTTTATTATAAATGTGGAGGGAAAACTCGGAGGATCCACAGAAAAATCCATGCGACGACGGGGAGACAGCGAGAGAGGACATGCAAACTCCAAATATACAATAGGCGTCAGGGTCGGGATCGAATCCACGACCTCCTACATACTAGGCGAGGGAGATAACATCTCGCCACCGTGGTGTTGCTGGTGGCAGGGCCTCCCTTCACCACGGGGAGACCTATGGGCCCTCGCTCGGGTTGTATTCGGCCCACTCTTCGACACCAGCCTACCTGATGTCCTGTCCTAACCCATCACATGCGACCAGTCGAACTGCTGGTTGGACAGAGGCCAGGAGGGGGAATAAATACTTTGTAAAAAAAACATGTTGGTGTTCAGCTGCCGCATCGGGAGAATCGCAACGACTGCAGCATCCCTCGATTAATTTCATTGTTTGCGTCGATGAGCCTCGGATGAGGGGCGAGATTCAAATGAAATCGCAACGGCCAAACACTCAAATAACATCTTGGCGATGTTTTTATATCACCCATAATTGGTGGCATTGGAGATACTGGTAAGTTTTCATCAAAGCATAAAACGGAGTTACTGCGTGCGCGAGACGAATCGCTGCCCCAGTGGTCAGCCAACTGCCCTGTGAACCTGGTGACCTCAGCAGCACCAGCATACATATTGAAACATGCTTAGCTTTCAGGATCAGGGTGATTCGATCGTAGGCGACGAACTAAAATTCATCCATAAAAACAATTACGCAATAAAAACCGACCCTCTTATATTGAGAATTGATAGCCAACCAGTTTCTGGCAAAGCGACGCAATGCCCCAGAATGCGTCGCTCAAGCTGCTTGAGCCACCGTCGTCTGGGATCAATGTCGCAGAGGTTGCCATCGCTCCGGACTCGGCGACAGGAGATGTCAAATTTCCTCTCAGGCATGGGTGAGCATCGGTCACAAAGTGGCATCTTCCCCAGCCCACGCTGACCAGAATGGTCACGCATGGTCTTCCTCTCCTTGCCTCTTTGTGCAATGCCCAGCGTCCACCGATCCAGTCTCCTTTGCGCAGTTATCAGAGGGTTGTTTTGTTGCCCTCCTCTCCATTTGCTCCGTCAACGTATTCTTCCTATTGGCAAGGAATATCGTCGATTAAAGCTCTGAAGTTATTCTACTGAATCTAGCACGTGCAGACTTTTGCGACCACTTATCGTGCTTCGTAATAGATTTTCGGGTCAGATCACACGTGTAAAATCTCGTGCAGCAAAGCTTCCTCCACCTAACGCAACCGATTAATAAAGTTGTTACGTAAACAAATGTTCCAATGCATTACTGCAGCTTCAGCAACAGCAGCAGCTGATGTCGGAGAGCAATTTCGCGACACAACATTCACTGTGACTCGACCGAACATCTGTTTCCACCTTAGATCCTGGGACAGGTTCAACATTCGCCCAGACATCGATGAGGAGGAGTCTTCGACTCGGGGTCTTCGGGTTCTCAGGTTTATCCTCCTGGCACTGCTCTTCCTCGCCGTGTTCGGAACGGCGGTGCTCAGCAAGGTGAGGAGGAAGGAGGAGGAGGAACTCCCTCACCTCTCCCCAGCCTCACCTCACAGCTGCACCATCTCCAGATTCGTTTCCCACACCTCCGATTAGCACGGTTGGCTACTGATAGAGGGAAATAAGCTCAACATACATACACACATGCCCTCGATATTTAAAAAATATATATTGATAAAAAATGTTACTAGGTAAAGCTCACTGAGTTACATAGAAAAAAATTTCATCAGCAACCTGGCCACAAATGATAGCTCAACTTAGTGATGTATCATCATCACTTGGAATGTATAGCAGTCAAATACTCTGAACGCGTAATGCTGATTCTAAATGTGGAGAGAAAAATCGGGGGATCCAGAGAAAAATCCACACGACCACGGGGAGAGAGAGACCACGCAGACTCTAAATATAAATTAGGCATCGTCAGGGACGGGATCGAACCCACGAGCTCCCATGTACCAGACAAGCAAGATAACATCTCGCCACCTCAACCCTCACATCGTGTTCATGTAGTCGGCATCTCAATTGCTATTAATCTTAGTCTCATCGACAACAACCTGTGGGACATCTCGGTCTGTGGGTTTTATTGTATTCTGGAGGCATTTTTTTATCATGACATGAAATACTTTGCACTGCCCTCACCATAACCGCTGACACAGCAATGCCTTTCAGATGTTGGGGATGCACACAGGCACACCCGTGTACACAGACGAGATATATCTCACTCAAGCCATGCTTGATTAATGAGGTTGTCACTGAACAAATGTGCAGCCAATCAACGTGTATTACTGCTTCAGCAGCAGCAGGAGCATTGATTTATTGATTGACATTGAGCACCATTGGTGTGGTTGTTGTTGTTCGAGAGCGATCCACACACATTCACCAACTGGGTATGGACGTCTCGCTGGGAGTCACAGCCATCATCATCAGGCAGTTGCCAGAAATCTGAGGAGGGTTAACTGCACATTTATAGCGAGCAGTGTGCCACACGCTAGATTCGCGTTATAGCTGGAAGTCTGTCACGTGCTAGACTCGCGTCATAGCAGGTGCGCGGTGTGCGCTTAACGAAAAACGTTCCATGAAGTAAAAATTGCGTGAAAGCGGGAAACGTGGGGAGTGAACACCGCTCGTTCAACGAGGATTCCCTACATTGATAGGATGCGCAGTGTCGTGACGCTTTTTTCTGTCTGGCGTGCGCAATGTGGTGGAACACAGCTGAGTCTGGTGTACTTGGCCGAGATGAAGAGGGTCGCCAGGCAGGCCGGCGAGCTCGACCAGAACCAGTTCTATTCCTGGGTCCTCGCCTTCGTTCTCGTCATCCCCAACATCTTCAGCTCCATCCGCTGCGGCCTCCGGCTCGCCTTCAAGAATTCCGATGTCTCCAATCGGAAGATGATCGCTCTGGTAAGATTCAGAGAGAGACAGAGACGGACAGAGGTCAAGGCAAAGGTGCAGTCTTGAAGTTGCTCTGTCAACGCCTCCAGCATAGGGAGAGTGACTCTAAGAGAGTCCCTTCTCATGGGTGTGTTGCCCTACTTGTCCACGCTGCGAGCCCATGTCTAATCTACAGTGAGGGAAAAAAGTATTTGATCCCCTGCTGATTTTGTACGTTTGCCCACTGACAAAGAAATGATCAGTCTATAATTTTAATGGTAGGTTTATGTGCACAGTGAGATACAGAATAACAACAAAAAATCCAGAAAAATGCATGTCAAAAATGTTATAAATTGATTTTCATTTTAATGAGGGAAATAAGTATTTGACCCCCTCTCAATAAAAAAGATTTCTGGCTCCCAGGTATCTTTTATACAGGTAACAAGATTAGGAGCACACTCTTAAAGGGAGTGCTCATAAGCTTGTTACCTGTATAGAAGACACCTGTTCACAGAAGCAATCAATCAATCAGATTCCAAACTCTCCACCATGGCCAAGACCAAAGAGCTCTCCAAGGATGTCAGGGACAAGATTGTAGACCTACACAAGGCTGGAATGGGCAACAAGACCATCGCCAAGCAGCTTGGTGAGAAGGTGACAACAGTTGGTGTGATTATTCGCAAATGGAAGAAACACAAAAGAACTGTCAATCTACCTCGGCCTGGGGCTCCATGCAAGATCTCACCTCGTGGAGTTGCAATGATCATGATAACAGTGAGAAATCAGCCCAGAACTACACGGGAGGATCTTGTCAATGATCTCAAGGCAGCTGGGACCATAGTCACCAATAAAACAGTTGGTAACACACTACGCCGTGAAGGACTAAAATCCTGCCGCGCCCGCAAGGTCCCCCTGCTCAAGAAAGCACATATACATGCCCGTCTGAAGTTTGCCAATGAACATCTGAATGATTCAGAGGACAACTGGGTGAAATTGTTGTGGTCAGATGAGACCAAAATGAAGCTCTTTGGCATCAACTCAACTCGCCGTGTATGGAGGAGGAGGAATGCTGCCTATGACCCCAAGAACACCATCCCCACCGTCAAACATGGAGATGGAGACATTATGCTTTGGGGGTGTTTTTCTGCTAAGGGGACAGGACAACTTCACCGCATCAAAGGGACGATGGACGGGGCCATGTACCGTCAAATCTTGGGTGAGAACCTCCTTCCCTCAACCAGGGCATTGCAAATGGGTCGTGGATGGGTATTCCAGCAAGACAATGACCCAAAACACACGACCAAGGCAATAAAGGAGTGGCTCAAGAAGAAGCACATTAAGGTCCTGGAGTGGCCTAGCCAGTCTCCAGACCTTAATCCCATAGAAAATCTGTGGAGGGAGCTGAAGGTTCGAGTTGCCAAACGTCAGCCTCGAAACCTTAATGACTTGGAGAAGATCTGCAAAGAGGAGTGGGACAAAATCCCTCCTGAGATGTGTGCAAACCTGGTGGCCAACTACACTAAACGTCTGACCTCTGTAATTGCCAACAAGGGTTTTGCCACCAAGTACTAAGTCATGTTTTGCAGAGGGGTCAAATACTTATTTCCCTCATTAAAATGCAAATCAATTTATAACATTTTTGACATGCGTTTTTCTGGATTTTTTTGTTGTTATTCTGTCTCTCACTGTTCATATAAACCTACCATTAAAATTATAGACTGAACATTCCTTTGTCAGTGGGCAAACGTACAAAATCAGCAGGGGATCAAATACTTTTTTGCCTCACTGTAAATTATATTTCTATAGAGCGCCTTCTCCCAATGCACTCTATGACGTAGTTTACATAACGATGACAGAATGGAATTATCTAGTGAACAATGGCGTGTTACAAGGATTGAGGAATGAGTGAGAGTGATAGAGGCGTACTTCGAGATAATGGAAGAGCTTTCTAAAAAAAAGGGATGGAGTAGAGGGGCGAGGGGAGGGAAGAGGAGGCGAATGGGTCACCACGGTGGCGAGATGTTATATTCCTCGCCTAGTATACAGGGGGTCGTGAGTTCGATCCGGACTCTGACACCTGTATATTTGGAGTGTGCATATTTTCCCTGGGGTGTCGTATTTGGCTGCTATAAATGTTCACGTGATAAGCTACTTTGTTGAGCTATCGTTTATGGATAGGTGGCTTCTGAAAAAGAAGCTAATAGTTCAGTGGACTTTACCTGCTAAAGTAAACAGTACTTTTTTTTGTATATTTGTTTATAAGTGATTTGCTTATCTTTCCCATACTTTACACTTACGTGTTTTTTGTATTGTTTGTTGTTGTAACTATCTGACCACCTCGACTGGACATCTAAGCAAAAGAGTTGTATAGCTCATCGCATTGCTCCAGTATAAATGCAACTTATGATTCTGCTAGACCCCCCTCGCCCCCCCCCCCTTTGGCTCTGGGTGAACAGAGCGAGGAGAGGTCACAAACTCGCCCATTTGTTTCAGCTGCCGCACTGGGAGATAGACCCGGCGGCCTGAGGAATTGCACGTCGACTGTGCTGACCATTACCTCGCAACAGCAGCACCGCGTCTATATCGTTAACAAAATGAAACAATGAATATCATTCACGGAGTCATTTGACAATCCATTGCTGGGCATATAAAATTTGGAAAGAGTATGTTGGCGATGCTGCAGCTGCGTTGGCAGTCGTGCTCAAGGCCAATTAACAACAATAACAATCTCAAAACATTCGTCAATAACAAACTCTGTGTGGCCTGTATGCATGCATTCCTTTTAAGGAGGTCTTGTTGACCAATGTGTTGAGTGTTGTTGTCGTTAATCCACGCAGCTCCATCAGTTGTTTTTTTCCCATGCCTCGCCAACGCTGAACAGCGCAGTTGTCACCTGTTTTGTACAAAGACGACAAAAAGGCCTCAAAAAAACAAACCACGCTAACCTCTGTGTTTGTTTGGCGTGTGTTTCACCATTCCAACAATCCTCAATCTCTCTATGTCTCAATGTCCTTGCGTTTGTTTCGGCGTCACCCAGAACTGCTTGCTGGAAGGCTTCATCGGCCTTGGCTCAGCGCTCATGGCCATCGTCGTCCTCCCGGCAGAGTCGGCGAACCTTCTCAGCAGCATCCTCCTCCTTAACGGTGTCACCCTGGTGCCGAGCGCACTGCAGTTCGCGGGCAGGTGGACGCGAGGCAGGAAGCCGCCTCGGACGTCCAAGCTCTTGAGCCTGGCCTCCCTCTGCTGCTGTCTCGTCGCATTAGCGCTGTCGGTCGCCAAAGCGGCGTTAGTGGCGCCTGACGACGGCTCCACGGAGGCGGGAAGGTTCGCGCACCTGGCGCTGCTGCTGCTGAGCCTGCTGCTCGTGTCCCTGTCGTGGTGGGAGAACTTCCTGCCCGCTGGCTGGCTCCGGGGATTCCGCGACGCCGTCGGCGAATCGCGGAACCTCGCCGAGTTCTACGGCTCGCTCGTGCGCACGCTCATCATCGTGGCGGTCGTGCTGCTGGACGCGGGCGTCGAGGGCGAGTGGAGGAGCTTCAGCGCCATCAGCGGCATCGCGGAACACCGCGAGAGCGTGGCGCTCGCCCTGGCTCTGTTGGGCGTGCAGGCGGGCGCCTCCATCCTCTGCAAGTGGCTCGCTAACGCCGCCTGCAAGATCCGCCAGCAGAGGAGCTGCTTCGCCGCGCCGCTCTGCCTCGCCACGCCCGCCGCCCTAGCGGTCGTCTTCGCCCTCCACCTCGCGCTCGACGCCTCGGGTGACTCTCGCTACGACTGCGAGTCGGTCCGACGGTGGAACGGCTCCGAGCGGACGACGCCCGCAGCCGCCTCACTCTTCTATGACCGCACGGCCGCCACCGTCTGCTCGTTCGTGGGTGCCGGCGAAGACACCGCGGTGGACGCCGTGGCCACGTTCGGCGCCGGGGCGCTGTGGTTCGCGGCGCTGCTGCTGGCGGCGACACCCGCGTTGCGCCCGGATGGCGCGACGCGCATGGAGCGCACACGCGAGCTCTTCGTGCGCCGCACCCCGCAGCCCGCGTGTCTCGTCGCGGGGCTGCTGCTCAACCGGCGACAGCAGCAGGAGGAGGAGGAGGAGTTGGTGCTGGAGGAGAGGAGGTCCGTGTGTTGGTGTTGATGCAGTGTATTGTACTTGCATGTGTGACTATGAGTGTGTGTGTGTGACTAAGTGTTTCTGTGAGTAGGTCATGGCCTCCCCTTGCAAAAAATGTGTAACTGGTATGGTGTGTAAACAGCACCACTGGGGAGACAAAGACGGCCGGGCGTGGTGTTGGCCACCCACCCGCTTGTGTGCAGTGCCAGCCTTCATAGGTGCTCGCTATCAGCACGTGCCCCAACAGTTTGGTCAGGGGAACTTTGTTTGCTGTATTTATGTGACGAGGTGTATGTGTGACTCGGTGTGTGTCTGTGTGACTGGCCATAAACTCCCTCAAGTCCCGTTTCTGGCTTCATCGGTGCTAGTCGCTAACAGCCCTTGCCCCAACAGTCTCTCAAGGCTCTATGGGCGATCTTTGTTTTTAGTTTGTGTTAGTCTGGCTTTGTCTATGTTTCGTGTTTTGGGTATCGGAGGTTAAGTATGATCATATAATCAAAGCAGGATGTTTTTCTTTCTGTATTTATTTCATAATGATGACGATTTGTGACGTTCGCCCTTCTGTTCTACAGACTGAAATATGTCTACCCCACATTGTCCAATGCATAAAACAGAGAACCGCGCTCTGCGATTTCCTCTCTTAATCTGAACATGATTTAATGTTCTCGTTGTATCCTCTAGCAACCAAAAGCAAGAGAGGGTGAAGATCTACCTGTGCGCAACCATGTGGCACGAGACCAAGGAGGAGATGACGAAGATCATCTCGTCCATCCTGAGGTGGTATATTCCCTATCGCCCAATTCCATCAAGCGGCCGGATCCCAAGGACCAACGTGGTTCTTCGCGAATGTGCAGATGGGGTGTGGTCACGTCATCGCGCACTTTGAAATGCCCTTCTGTGGCCGTCTGGAACACTCTTCCTTCTGATATTAGGAAGCAACTGGAGCTATGCACTTTTAAATAATCTATATTGACAACTAATTTCTTCAGAATTTATTTTTATGTTTAGATTGTTGTCCTTCCCTTGCACATTTTATTATCTTGGTTGGGTACGTATGGTGTGAAAGAAGTCCACCACACATACGTACATTCATTTCTGCAGGGCACCACAGCAGTCAGGCTACCACGCTACCGCGTCCCTTCAGCTCAACGAGATTTGAGGATATAAATCTAAACTGCACATTTAAAGTGTCCTGAAAAAAAAATATTATGATATATGCAGCAATGCATATGCCGATGAAAAAATGTTAAACAAAATAGAACCACATTACTGTGGCTCTTATTAGGACACTCTACAGCAATACCATATTACCATGTTGCATATCCGACCGTCATATTTCGACCTTGGATATTTAACCGCCCACACGCAGTGCAGTAATTGTGGGCGGTATATTTTCAATTTTCTTTGGATGCTCATAAATATGACATCTTCACATGGAGCAGCGCGTTCCTAACCTCGAGAACATTTGCCTTCTTTCGAACGTCGCAGCTATTCAGGCGATCGTGTTTAACGCGGACCGTTCTTTGTATGTGACCATTGAGCAATGTTTGTGAATTGTACAAGCTGTAGTCATTTGAACTAACACGTGTAGGCTCCCGCAACAAAAACTATTATGATGCATGCTAATATTGAGAGCGTCGACAGGTGAGAGCCTGGACAGGTGAGAGTTTCAACCAGGTGAGATCCTGGACTGGTGAGAGCCTGGATAGGTGAAAGCCTGAACCAGGTGAAAGCCTGGACAGGTGAGACCCTTGAGAGATGAGAGCCTGGATCGGTGAGAGCCTGAATGGGTTAGAGTCTGCTTCTTGGTTGCTGCTGCGTGTGCAGCAGTGAGAGATACAGAGAGAGTTCCAGACGGCTGCTGACTGGTGCAGCTACAGAGAAACGCACTCATTCAGAAGCCGGTGCAGGCGTTGGGTAGAGGTCGTTGTGAGTTGAACTCAGTAGGATGCGGTGGAAGTTTGCTGTGATCAGTGGGATGATAAAGGTAGAGGAAACTTGTCGGCGGGAGACCTTGGGAAAGCGCTCAATTGCAGAGGACAGCGTTGCTCTACCATGACCTTGACTCGATGGGGAGCGTGTGGCGGAATAACAATAACCACCCTCTCCCCTTGCCGCTGCCAGGCTGGACAGGAGTCAGCCAAAGGATCTCAACGTCGGTTCCCGCGGCGGAGGGAAGAAGAATGAGAAAAAGGAGGAGAAGATGAAGACGAAGGAGGAAAAGAAGACAGAGAATAAGGATAATAAAAATGAGAAAGAACAAGGGAAGGAGGATCAGGATGGGAAGAAGGAGGAGAAGGAGAAAAAGAAAGAAGAGAAGAAGAAGAAAACAGAGAACGAGGAAAAGCAGAAGGAGGAGGAAAAGGAGGAGGAAAAGAAGGGGGAGAAGGAGCAGAATCATAAGAAGGAGGAGAAGACGGTGAAGCGGGAACCGTACGACTTCTCGGCTCACATCTACTTCGACGACGCCTTCGAGAGGAAGGGAGATCGCATGGTGGTCAACCAGTTCGTGACCAGCCTCACGGACGTCATCGCCGAAGTGTGCCGGTCAGTGCACCGGATGTTATTTTGTGGTAGCACAAACTGACAATTGGCCGGCAAACAGAGACACTGTGGTGGGCGGTGTGATAAATGAACATTCACGCACGTGTTGAATTGAGCAGGAAACCTCATCTGTTGAACTTTTTTCGCACTATACGTAGCCAACCTTGCTGTAGAGCGCACTAGGCGCTTAACATAATTTACACAAAACTGTGCAGCACTGGGGAGAAAAAAGCAGACGGGCGTGGTGCTGGTCACCCACCCCCTCGTGTGCCTTGCCGGCCTTCATGGGTGATACTGGCTAACAGCCCTTGCCCCCAACACTCTGTTGAAGGCTATACGGGGGGATTTTTGTCGTTTGTTCGTGCGTTGGTAAGAATTTAGGCAACGAGACGACTCAGTCCGGACGACCGAGGTCCTCGCCGTGGGTGTAGGAATCGAGCAGCGACGTTCGTGTGAACAGTAACGATGGTTGTAGAAGTCGTAGCGATAGAAGTGAGATACGGAGGCGACTGACCAGCGGAGAGCGAGCGAGCGACTGGGAGATAATCGTTGAGTGCTGGATCATCAGTCACCCACGACTGCTGCTGCTTTACTCAATTCAGAATCAGAATATGTATTTATACTGCAGGAGGAATTCGATGAGCTACAAAACTGTATTTCACAGATGTCCAGCAGGGGCGGGTCAGACCGTTACCTCAACCAACAATACAAAAAACACGATAGGAGTGCAAAGTATAGGACAGGTTAGCAGATCACAAATAAAACTAAACTCTTATTTTTTACCAAGTAAGACCCTATGAGGTATTAGCTTTTTTTTAAGAAGCGCACTGGCCACAAATGATAGCGCAACGAAGTTTATTTTCATGTGGAAATTTATAGCAGCAAAATAATCTAAATTATATTTTAAAAAATATTCGAGTGCAGCAGTGAGGTGGCAACTGGGGACTTCATCCTAGATATGACAGCAGTAGCAGCAGCAGCAATGCAACATAGTAATTGGGGCGCGTCTTCTCTGTCGCTTGCGCTGCTGCTGATGTGAAGGTATTTTGAGAAAAACTCGAAGAATTCACAAGAGGCGCCCTCAATGGAGAGGACTCAGACGCCGTACGGAGCGCGACTCTCCTACAAACTCCCGCACGGCAACTCGCTGTGCGTGCACCTCAAGGACAAGGAGATGATCCGCCACCGCAAGCGCTGGTCCCAGGTATTTGCTGCATCCGTGGGCTTCAGATCTTCTGCCCCAAAGCTCATTGGGCCACAAACCCTACAACCGCATCCACACAGCGCATAGTAGCAGCTGCAACAGCTGATGTACTTATACATGACGATGACGATTACGCACAATTGGAAAATTAAATATCTCAGTGTCCAGCGACGATACGTATGTATGTGGAACTTCTTCCGCACTGTACCTCACCAACCGTGCTAATCGGAGGTACAGAGAAGGATAAAACAAATAAACACAAAAAGCAGTTCTAAATAAATTAGTATCCAACCTAAATTTAAAAGTGCGTAGCTTCAGCGCATTCCTAATATCGACAGTGGTCACCACCTGGAACAGAGTGACGGAACACACAACAACTCAACGCCCGATTCCCAACACGAACGAAGGGTGAGGCATCATCACAGCAGCTACTCCTGACGCAATCATCTGGCTCGTCAACCACCTCAATGTAAAGTTACAACTCTCGCTGTACGAGTCGACATCAGCATCTGCCGTACGAAGGGGAATGCAATAGCTCACGTCGATTGAAGCCATCTGTATGCTACCTCGAGAGTCATGCCCTCATATTGAAATTAAATCACGTGATTAATAATAATTAGTTTCACGTGCGAATCAGTGCACACCATAGAGACAAAGATACCCCGTATAGCCTCAGCAGGCTTTTGGGGGTAGTTGCTGTAAACGAGTTGCGCACAGCAGTGTTGTCCGTGACCGATTGTTCCCCGACTCGATTGATTTGGTGTTGAGTGCTATGAGGATGATGATGACTGCACCATGGTTGTTATCGATGTATCACAGCAATCTCAAGCCGATACTCTTTTGCGTGTTGTTCTATTGCCTTCTGTCCACGACTTGGGGGGGAGGGGGAGGTTGGTGGCGCTGTTGAGTTACACTTGGGCAGCACGCGCCGTCATGGCCATTGGGTCGAGAATAATAACGGAGCGGCAGCCAAAAAATGGAATGCATCGCGGAGGGGTGTCTGCCGGGGAGATGGAGCGATGGAATCAGTCGGTAATGGAGGTGCTGGGTGGATAACGACTCAGAATCTCATGAAACATCGCGACGACTTGGGGAGGTCTTAATCCAGTAGTGGATCGATCACGGCTGCTGCTGCTGATGATGATGATGATTGTTGTTATTAAAGCACTTGACGTGTTCTGTACAGGTAATGTACTTGTACTACCTCCTTGGCTGGAAGATCTACCGCAAGATCCACACAGTTAAGAAAGATGAACAAGAGGAATGGGTGGAGGTAAGGGTCTTGTAAACTGCAAAGACAACGACGCCTCATATATCCGTTAACAGACTGTTGAGGCAAGTGCTTTTAGCGAGCACCTGTTAAGGGTGGGATGGCACACGAGCGGGTCGTGTGTCCAACACCACGCCCATCCGCCTTTGTCTCGCCAGTGCTAATGTTTACTCATTTAAGGCTAAGCCGACCTAGGGGAGGCCACTATCCACTTCCACTTAGTAGTATACATGGGTAGGCCCTGCACATTCCGTGGATGGACAGTTCGCGTGCAGTGGGGGAGAGTGTGAGTACTCACACCATATCCCACGGCACACGAACTGCACGCAAACTGCCCATCCAGGGAATGTGCAGGGCCTACCCATTTATACTTCTCCAAAGACGTGGGAGCAGTGTGGAAGTGTAGGCCAAATACACCCTGCTAGGGTGACGCCGTGGGGAGATGTTAACTACCTCGCTTGGTATGCAGGAGGTACTGCATTCGATCCCGACCCTGACGCCTGCATATTTTAAGTGTACCTGTCTCTCTCCCCTTGGCCGCATGGATATTTCTCTGGGCCCTTCGGTTTTTCCCTCCACATTTAGAATCAACATCATGCATTTCGTGTATTTGGCTGCTATAAATATCCAAGTAATAATCCACTTTGTTGAGCTATCATTTGTGATAGCCAGGTCGCTTCTGAAAAGAGCTAATTGCTCAGTGGGTCTTGCCTAGTAAATTTAAATTGTTTCGTTTGTTAGAGGGTCTCTCTCTCTCTCGGGCTCTCTCTCCGGGTCGAGGCCCAGTCATAGCGTGCACTACGCGTGTCTGTGCATGCAGAGTCGGCATGATTAGAAGTATATCTTTGGTTGCCTTTCTGGCACAATCTGTCACTCAATGCGCCATCATTACGTTGATACTCAAAATAGTGTAGTGGGTTTCACGGAAGCACACACTTGAACTCGGAGGCAACACGTTTATTCTCACATCCCAACAGGGTAACTACATAAACATACAGCAAGTTAACTAGACTACAATGGGTAACTAGACCACAACGGGGTAACTACATAACCGGGTCAGTCAGTAACACACTGCCTGACCCACGATGCCGAGCGTAAAGACCGACCACCGAGGACCGAGGATCGAAGAAGCGTAGCACCGACGGGTTCCATTCCAACAGACAGCCCGGATCGGCTCTCGGGACCTCCCTTTTATGCCCCTGAGCGTGGCCTGGCTCTGCCCTCGGCCACGACCCCTTCTGGATATTACCAGAAGGTTCTGGGCCATATATCACGTGTCCCTCTCGCTACCTTTTGGCCCCCCTCATTATCCTGTCCTGGTCACGTGCCCACTTGGGTTCACCTAGACCAGGGGTCGGCAACCTACGGCTCCGGAGCCGCATGCGGCTCTTTACGGGCTGCTCCTTGACGATATGTACGTGAGTACAGTATGTACTCAGATGCATTGCGGCTCTTGAAATACAGAATTTTGTACCGAATTGGAAAGAAATGGCTCTTCTTGTTATTTTGGTTGCCGACTCCTGACCTAGACTGTCACGTCCTCAACTGCCCTCTCTCTGACAGTCACCAGAAGCATGCCCCGTAGGACCCCTATCCATGCCACACATACTCTGGTGCCAGAGAGAAGCTCTAACACGCAAAGTTCCCCTCTTCTGTCAGTAACTGGTGCTAAACGCCGTAGTCACTCAATATAAGTCACTACAATAGCAATATAACTTTCTATACAATAATATATATATACACTTATTACAGTTGTTTAAAATATAAGTGTAAAATAGGTTTGCGGCTGAAATTTAGTTGTATTTATGTTTAACTTCTTTCACACCGTATATAGCCAACCGTGCTAATCGGAGGTGCGGGGGCAGGACAACAAACCAAACACAAAAAGCAGTTCTAGAGAATGTAGTTTTCAATATAATTGATGATTTCAAAGTGCAAACCTCTAGTTTCTTCCTAATATTGGAAGGAAGAGCGTTCCAGACGACCGTAGAAGCGCATCTGAAAGCGCGAGATGCAGTGTCCGTCTTTGTTCCATGGCTCGCCCAAAGCCTCTGCTGCGAGGATGACCGGAGTTAGTTGTCGTTGTACGCAAGCGAAAAGAGCCGCTTTGTTGCTGTTGAGGTGTCACTGTTAATGAAGTGACGATGGAGTCGAGTATGCGCACCGCTTTGGGGAGGTTGTTTCCAGAGGTTGTAGTGCTGCAGATGACAACGATCTCTCAACCCACGTGGTTGTTATTAGGAATCCACTGGAGCTATGCACTTTTAAATCATCTATTTTGAACACTCATTTCTGTGAAATGCGGTTTGTGTTTAGTTTGTTATCTTTTCCTGACGAACATGGTTGGCTACATACGATGTGAAAGAAGTCATACATACATGCAATATACATACAGCTAAGGCCGTAGCCATGGTGTCAACATTAGGAGGGACCAAGTCTTCCAGGGGGTCTGGAGGTCTCCCCCAGAAAAAAATCTAAATTTTAAAACTCATTTCCTGCCATTTCCTGCCTAAAATATTAAAAAATTCACTCACACATAGGATGGACTTTTTATTTATTTTTTACAATAATGTCTAATAGTGTATTGTATTCCATTGCTGTTTTTTCGTATTTACCTTTTCTTGTTTCAGTGTATGTAATGGCAAAGATTAAGGATTAATAAAGCACAACTATAACCACAATCATATAAACAGGAATCTAATTTATAGCAATATATATATTGGGGGGGTCATTTTGAGCATATTTGAATATGGGGGGGGGGTGTGTGTGTGTCCCCAATATATTTTATAATTACGGCCTTGCATACAGCATAATTACGTTGTGTGTTTGGGTGTTAGAGGTTAGAGAAGGAGCGTTGGGGTTGAGGAGCTAAGTGAGCGGCTGCTTTGCTTGCTTGCTCTGTACGAGGTCGCGGCTGTAATGCCACCGCTGTTGCTGATCTGTCTCCGTGCCACTACTCCCCGTTCACCGCCGCAGAGGAAGAAGCGCAACACCTACGTGCTGGCCTTGGACGGAGACACGGACTTCTACCCCTCGGCGCTCTCCATGCTGGTCGACCGACTCACGAGGGACCCCACCGTTGGCGCCGCCTGCGGGAGAATTCACCCGACGGGCGTGGGTGCGTAGACAGCTGTGGTGTGTGTGGTGCAGGATGTGTGTGTGTGTGTGGTGCAGGATGTGTGTGTGTGTGTGGTGCAGGATGTGTGTGTATGTGGTGTAGGATGCGCGTGTGGTGCAGGATGTGCGTGTGGTGTAAGGATGCGCATGTGTGTGGTGCAGGATGTGTGTGTGTTGGGCAGAGAGGTAGTGCATCACAAATCACTATTTAATTCCATCAAAAAAGTAACCTGCAGCGCCACACCTATTACCATCATTAGGGGAAAAAACGGTGATCCAATCTCTGACCCCCAGGAACAGGTTTGCAGATTTGCTGAGCATTTCTGTGAGGTCCTGGGGGAGAGAAAATCTCTCAGCCAGGAAAACATCATGGCACAAAGCGGGGATAACCCTGCTATGGCTGCGGTGCTGCAAATATTGGAAGAGGGAGGTCACCCCCTGTGAGTGGCTGGCTGAGGTGCCATCTGTTGAGGAAGTACTGAAGGCGATCCGGAGTCTGAGACCAGGAAAGGCACCGGGCAGAGATGATCTCCCAAGCAAAATGCTCAGGGAGGGTGGCGTTTGTACACAGACTGCCCTATATGACATCATAACAACAGTCTGGACCACTGGATGGGTTCCGCAGGATTCCCCCTCTTTAAGAAGGGGGACCACACAGACTGTAACAACTACAGGGGTATCTCACTCCTCAGTGTGCCGGGAAAGGTACTGGCAAGGATTATTCAACATTGCCTTGCTAGGCACGCTGAGGAGAGGCTTGCGGAGCCCCAATGCGGTTTCAGGAAAGGGCGGTCCTGCACAGATGCCATATTTTCTGTCCATCTGCTACAGCAGAGGTGTAGGGAATTCCAACAAGACCTACATCTCTGCTTTATTGACCTGGTCAAGGCCTATGATACCATCAGTAGGCCTGGGCTCTGGGTTGTTCTTCATGCTTTTGGAGTCCCTGACCCTCTGCTCACGATCATTAAGGACCTTCATGATGGTGAGCGGGCCCGGGTAAAACTACGTGGCCGGGAGTCAGAGCCTTTCCCTGTACACCTGGGGGTGCGACAGGGATGTCCTCTGGCTCCCACATTATTTAACATCTATTTTGACCGCGTAGTTCGTGAAGCCTTCAATAGCTGTACCGGGGGAATTTCCATCTGGTACAGATATAATGGGAGGCTGATCGACGCCCGGGTGCGATCAAGGGATGGCTCCCTATTGGTCAACCACGTTATGTATGCCGATGATTTGGTAATAGCTGCTCATTCAGAAGACGAGTTGGAGAAGCTCCTGCTGAGACTGGAGCGTGCCACTAAGAGGTGGGGCCTTACCATCAGCCCCACCAAAACTAAGCACCTGGGTATTTTGTACCATCGGACACTCCACCCCCACAACTCCCAATCGGCGATGGGGCGGTAGTGGAGAGAGTGGAGAGTTTCCCATACTTGGGCAGTGTGCTTATGACCGGCTCCAGTTTAACAGCAGAGGTCTCACTCCGATTCAGTCGAGCGGCAATATACTTTCATCGGTTGCGTAATGCTGTGTGGAAGCTACCTGGTCTGTCGCTCCGCACGAAGCTTCAGGTTTTCTCAGTCACAGTCGTTCCCTCCCTTCTCTACGCTTGCGAAACGTGGACCCCCCTAATGGAGCATCTTCGCCGGTTGGAAACATTTAGGCTGGCCTGCCTACGATCCATCCTGGGTTTAACCAGGCTGGATTGTGGGAGGAGCTTACAGATCCTTGAAAGATCTGGGAAAAGTCCCATCGGTGAGCTCCTCCTGCAGGCAAGGCTGCATTGGCTGGGTCATGTAGCCCGCATGCCCAGCCACCGCATGCCTAAACAGCTTTTGTTCGGCCGGATCGAGGGGGCTAAACGGGCGCGGCACGGGCTAGAGAAGAGATGGAGTGATGTGGTACAGGAAGACATGGAGCTGAGTGGACTTGCCGATGACTGGTGCCAGCGGTGTCAAGATCGGCCTCTGTGGAGGAGGCTCGTGAAGGACGCTACTGGGCAGTTGGAGGCAGTTGCCCTCCAACAACAACGGAGGGCGGAGGAGCGACGCTCACAACAACGAGCGGAGCGCCGGGTGGCTAAAGCATAGCAAGTTGGCACAGTAGGGGGCACAGGTGGTGCATTAGCCAGTCATCTCGGTCATCTCGGTCAGTCGACCCGTGGCACCTGGATCTGCCCCGTGACCTCCTGCAGCGGGCGTTCGATACTTCACGTGGCCTCAAGGTGCACATGGCCTGGCACAAGCGTCGTAGTGACGTCACCGCCACTTAGTGGCGAATGGCGGTTGTTGTTGTTATTGTGGTAGTGCAGTGGTTAGCACAATGCGCTATGAACCTAGCGACCCAAGTTTGACTCCCGCTCAAGGTCAACACCGGTGACGATTATCTGAACCCGTACAGCGGCTCCCCTAGGTAAACTCAGCCTCAAATTATAACCTGGTACGATGTTTAAATATCGCCCCTGGGGAGACAAAGGCAGCCGGGCATGATGCTGGCCACCCACCCCCTCGGTGTACCGTGCTGGCCTTCATAGGCGCTTCTCGTGGACAGCACTTGCTCCAACAGTCTGCTCAGGCTACACAGGGGATCTTTGTCTTTGGTGCGGAATCTCACCAGATCTCAGCAGCGCCGAGCCTGGACAGCGCTTGAGAATGGGTGCGTGTGGATGCCAGATCTGTACAGCGTGATTATAATTGTTTACAGGTTATTGAAGTGTGAAACCCATAAGAGTGTTCTGGGCGGGGAAATCAATGCCCCCCCCCCACTTCCTGGTCGTGCCACACAATTTGACTGTGCGAACCGCATGCTCGCCACACTCACTGCCCGCCCCGCACGTTTTATTGCTCGGTGTTTTATTGCTCGGGCTTTTTATTGCTCGGCATATGAACTTCAGCACCGTGAATGCTTTAGCCTCTTTTTAAAGTCCTGCGGTAAAAAGGCATTCAAACCAATCAGATTACGCACAACCGTTGCAGGTCGGAATTAAGCCTTCAACAATTAATTCCCATCAGGTTATCGTTGATGTAAATGGTAAACATGTAAATTGCAGTGGCCTAGGGTGTCCCTGATGCAATCCTCGCACAAGATTCACTCTCAGTGCACATGATCTCAAATGTCACACTTAACTTCTAATTTAGCAATCTTTGGAAGAACGTAATCAACCAGGCTATGCGTTAATTGTGTGTTGACCGACTCTCTGTGTTGCATTGCATTACTTTTCCAAATTTTACTAAGTTTGTTTTATTAAGTTTATTTTCTCTCTCTGTGTCTCTGTGTTGTCTCTCTAGTATTTCCTGCAATCACGAAAGCTCCAAAGCTCTCATTGACATGCTAAATTATCTACCCCCCCTCTCTCTCTCTGCCCCCCTCTCTCTCTATGTAAGTCCTCAACACAGAGGCGTTGTTTCTCTGTGTGCCTCTTTGGAAGAACGTAATCAACCAAGAAGGGTGTTGACTGTTATGTTAGCTGACTCTCTGTGTTGTATTGCATTCTATTTCTATGTTTACTAGGTTTGTTTTTTCTAATTCATTCGTATCTGATGATGATTGCTTGTGTTGCAATCGAAACGTCGTATTCTATTATTATTTTCTTTCTACGTGACTTTACCGAAAGAACTAAAAAGTAATTCCTTGCAGTCACGAAAGCTCCAAATCAATCTTACTGGCTGTATCGGATGGAGGAGGGTTACGACACATGTATACTTATGCGATCTAACCCAAAAACCTTTATTGTGAATAACAGAACGCCGTTGCTACCACAACTACTCAGGATGTTTAGATAAAGTTAAATAAACACACACGTAAGCACGGTGGAAGGATTGTAATTAAATCAACACGCATCTACCACAGCAGTGCCGAGTGTACATTGAGCAGAATTGTTATATCATGAAGTGGTCAGAGAAAAACTACCACCACCGCTAGTAATGGAAGTTTTTAACTTTACATAACTCAAATTAAATACCAAAATACTGCAAAGACTTCGAAGTAAATTGCGCAAATCCTATAGAATTGTTGAGTGAAATCAATATCATTATTATCAGCCGTGGTCAATCCACTGCGGGATGAAGGCCTCCCCAAGTCGTCGCCATCTCTCACGACTCTGTGATATAATAATCCAACGCATCACCAACCTTGGTAATCGTCCAACCTTCCTGGCCAGCTGGCTCCCAAACATAATAATTAAATAGATGGCCATAACCTGTACTATTCCCTTAGAGGTTAGGTGCCCAAAAAACAAAGGCTGTCACTTAAATCTTCCAGGAGAGCTGGCAGTGGGCATGAGCTGGTACGTGCCATGATTAGCCGAGACAGACTGCAGGCTGACTAACACCAAACATACTACGTGGCACGCACTAATATCCAATCTCGATGCTTTATTGGCACAATTCAAATGTCCTTCGTTTATTGAGTGGTCAAGCCAGGCGGGACCGGCGTTGGGCTAGGACACAAACCCCACTTTTCACCCAGGAAATCGAAGAGCACAGATTTATCCACCTCTTGACTCATGGTTATAACAAAAATCCCATCTATTTATGAATGCACAATTTTAAATAAATGAATAACAAATACGCAATGTGCGACTGTGCCAACTGCATGCTCGCCACACTCCCTGCCCGCCCCGCACGTTTTATTGTTCGGTGTTTAATTGCTCGGCTTTTTATTGCTCGGCGTATGAACTTCAGCACCGTGAATGCTTTCGCCTCTTTTAAAGTCCTGCGGTAAAAAGGCATTCAAACCAATCAGATTACGCACAACCGTTGCAGGTCGGAATTAAGCCTTCAACGATTAATTCCCATCAGGTTATCGTTGATGTAAATGGTAAACATGCAAATTGCAGTGGCCTAAGGTGTCCCTGATGCAATCCTCACACAAGATTCACTTTCAGTGCACATGATCTCAAATCATGGGACCTCCTTTGCCAGTTCTAAAATATACTAATAGGGTTTTTCCCCTTTTTTCTGGAAACAAAACTGACACCTTTTGCAAGGAATCATGCTTACATTAACCACAATACTTGCAGTCAAATGCAAACAAAAAACAATACTCTGATAATTTATGCATTGTCTTTGAAACTGATTGGTCCACACCAGAGACAGCTTTCTTTGGAGCCTAGTCTCATATGGTGTTCGACCAGATGACGCCAAAAGGCGCACAGTTTAAAGACAACGCACTACCAGAGTAATGAGAGCTCGGGGTGAGCAGCTACATCATGGGACCTCCTTTGCCAGTACCAAAATATACTAATAGGGGGTTTGCCATTTTTTCTGGCAACAAAATTGACACCTTTTGCAAAGAAGCATGCTTACCAATCAGTTTCAAAGACAATGCATAAATTATCAGAGTATTGTTTTTGTTTGCATTTGACTGCAAGTATTGTGGTTAATGTAAGCATGATTCCTTGCAAAATGTGTCAGTTTTGTTGCCAGAAAAAAAGGGGAAAACCCCTATTAGTATGATCTCAAATGTCACACTTAACTTCTAATTTAGCAATTTTTGGAAGAACGTCATCAACCAGGCTATGCTTTAATTGTGTGTTGACCAACTCTCTGTGTTGCATTGCATTACTTTCCCAAATTTTACTAACTTTGTTTTATTAAGTTTATTTTCTCTCTGTGTGTCTCTGTGTTGTCTCTCTAGTATTTCCTGCAATCACGAAAGCTCCAAAGCTCTCATTGACATGCTAAATTCTCTACCCCCCCCCCCATCTCTCTCTCTGCCCTCCTCTCTCTCTATGTAAGTCCTCGACACAGAGTCGTTCTTTCTCTGTGTGCCTCTTTGGAAGAACGTAATCAACCAAGTAGGGTGTTGACTGTTATGTTAGCTGACTCTCTGTGTTGTATTGCATTCTATTTCTAAGTTTACTAGGTTTGTTTTTTTCTCATTCATTCGTATCTGATGATGATTGCTTGTGTTGCAATCGAAACGTCGTATTCTATTATTATTTTTTTCTACGTGACTTTACGGAAAGAACCAAAAAGTTATTCCTGCAGTCACGAAAGCTCCAAATCAAGCTTACTGGCTGTGTCGGATGGAGGAGGGTTACGACACATTTATACTTATGCGATCTAACCCAAAAACCTTTATTGTGAATAACAGAACGCCGTTGCTACCACAACTACTCAGGATGTTTAGATAAAGTTAAATAAACACACACGTAAGCACGGTGGAAGGATTGTAATTAAATCAACACGCATCCACCACAGCAGTGCCGAGTGGACATTGAGCAGAATTGTTATATCATGAAGTGGTCAGAGAAAAACCACCACCACCGCTAGTAATGGAAGTTTAACCGCATGCTCGCCACACTCACTGCCCGCCCCGCACGTTTTATTGCTCGGTGTTTTATTGCTCGGCTTTTTATTGCTCGGCGTATGAACTTCAGCACCATGAATGCTTTCGCCTCTTTTAAAGTTCTGCGGTAAAAAGGCATTCAACTCAATCAGATTACGCACAACCGTTGCAGGTCGGAATTAAGCCTTCAACAAATCATTCCCATCAGGTTATCGTTGATGTAAATGGTAAACATGCAAATTGCAGTGGCCTAGGGTGTCCCTGATGCAATCCTCACACAAGATTCACTCTCAGTGCACATGATCTCAAATGTCACACTTAACTTCTAATTTAGCAATCTTTGGAAGAACGCAATCAACCAGGCTATGCTTTAATAGTGTGTTGACCGACTCTCTGTGTTGCATTGCATTACTTTCCCAAATTTTACTAAGTTTGTTTTATTAAGTTTATTTTCTCTCTCTGTGTCTCTGTGTTGTCTCTCTAGTATTTCCTGCAATCACAAAAGCTCCAAAGCTCTCATTGACATGCTAAATTATCTACCCCCTCTCTCTCTCTCTGCCCCCCTCTCTCTCTATGTAAGTCCTCGACACAGAGGCGTTGTTTCTCTGTGTGCCTATTTGGAAGAACGTAATCAACCAAGTAGGGTGTTGACTGTTATGTTAGCTGACTCTCTGTATTGTATTGCATTCTATTTCTAAGTTTACTAGGTTTGTTTTTTCTCATTCATTCGTATGTGATGATGATTGCTTGTGTTGCAATCGAAACGTCGTATTCTATTATTATTTTCTTTCTACGTGACTTTACCGAAAGAACCAAAAAGTAATTCCTGCAGTCACGAAAGCTCCAAATCAAGCTTACTGGCTGTGTCGGATGGAGGAGGGTTACGACACATTTATGCTCATGCGATCTAACCCAAAAACCTTTATTGTGAATAACAGAACGCCGTTGCTACCACAACTAGATAAAGTTAAATAAACACACACGTAAGCACGGTGGAAGGATTGTAATTAAATCAACACGCATCCACCACAGCAGTGCCGAGTGCACATGGAGCAGAATTGTTATATCATGAAGTGGTCAGAGAAAATCCACCACCACCGCTAGTAATGGAAGTTGAACTTTACATAACTCAAATTAAATACCAAAATACTGCAAAGACTTCGGAGTAAATTGCGCAAATCCTATAGAATTGTTGAGTGAAATCAATATCATTATTATCAGCCGTGGTCAATCCACTGCGGGATGAAGGCCTCCCCAAGTCGTCGCCATCTCTCACGACTCTGTGATATAATAATCCAACGCATCACCAACCTTGGTAATCGTCCAACCTTCCTGGCCAGCTGGCTCCCAAACATAATATTTAAATAGATGGCCATAACCTGTACTATTCCCTTAGAGGTTAGGTGACCATAAACAAACGCTGTCACTGAAATTTGCCAGGAGAGCTAGCAGTGGGCATGAGCTGGTACGTGCCATGCTGAGCCGAGGCAGACCGCAGGCTGACTAACACCAAACATACTACGTTGCACGCACTAATATCCAATCTCGATGCTTTAATGGCACAATTCAAATGTCATTCGTTTATTGAGTGGTCAAGCCAGGCGGGACCGGCATTGGGCTAGGACACAAACCCCACTTTTCACCCAGGAAATCGAAGAGCACAGATTTAGCCACCTCTTGACTCATGTTTATTACAAAAATCCCATCTATTTATGAATGCACAATTTTAAATAAATGAATAACAAATACGCAATTAAAACAGGAGAATAATTCAAAGAATGTGTTTAACTTGACCCCACCCATCCTCCCTGCCCTCCCGCTTTCCCACCATGGCCTCCCGGATCACTCTTCCCGGCTTGCTTCTCTTCCTCACCTCCTCCCTTGTCTCATAACCCCCTCCTTCGCCTCCCCAGCATGCCCTTCCCTACCCTTTAGCCGCCCACTTTTCATCCAACCCCTCCCTCCCTCTCCACCCCCAAATGTTTCCGATCTTCCCCTCCATTGCCCACCTGCCTATTCCCTCTGCCTCCTCCTGTACTTCCCTACCCCTCCTCTTGACCCACCCTTGATCGCCCATAGTCAGCAATTACATTTCCTCCCAATCTCGGAATTCAAAGTTCTCACATCGCTCTCCATGTTTACAAAAAAAACGTCTTTTGGTTGTGGTTCCAATGCAAAACCCACAGTCCTTTTTTCAACATATACAACGTACGTGCAACAAGAATACAACACACAATACAACATATAACCCACATACAACATATATATAACATACGTACAACATAGATGTACCCAAGAAAGCCACACCTGAATCGTAGCACTGCTGCATTGTGTTTCACTTTGAGTTGCATTCAGCCAATTAACCACAATTGTTTATACACCGACAGGGCCGCTCGTCTGGTACCAGAAGTTCGAGTACGCGGTAGGACACTGGCTGCAGAAGACGGCCGAGCACGTGCTGGGCTGCGTTCTCTGCAGCCCTGGCTGCTTCAGCCTCTTCCGAGCCAAGGCCATCATGGACGACAACGTCCTCAAGACCTACACCACGGTGGCCACCGAGGCCCTGCAGTACATCCAGTATGACCAGGGTAAGCGTCGACGTGTGTTTGGATCTCGCACCTCCGATTAGCACGGTTGACTACGTGTGGTGCAAAAGAAGTTCAACATGTATACATGTCACGGTGATGAAATATTGATTCCCTCGCCTGGTATACAGGAGGTCGTAGGTTCCATCCTGACCCTGACCCGTGTATATTGGAATTTGCGTGTCTCTCTCTCTCCCCGTGGTTGCATGGATTTTCTTCGGGTCCTCTAGTTTTTCCCTCCTCATTTATATTCAACATCACGTGCTTCGAACCTTTGGCTGCTATTAATTTCCACATGAGAAGGCACTTCGATGACCTTTCATTTGTGGCCATGTCGCTTCTGAAAAAGAGCTACATGGCAGAAGTGGGCGTTACCTGGTAAAATAAAAAATAAAATAGCTTAGTATTCATAGTCTTAGGTTTTTTCGGTAAAGTCACGTAGGTATAAAACATTAAAAAGTTAAATAAAATAAAAATCACGAAGTTTCGGAGGCAACACAAGCTTCCGTCTTCAGGTGGTACCGTCACAGCCACGACAGCTGTATCAAGTAAATGAGAGATTGCAGAAGCTACCACTCCGTTTATATAATGGTTGGAGAAGGTGGTGGGGCAAGGGCCGCATACTTTTATTAATATGGTAAGGTGAGGCTTAAGACTAAAAATAGACTCCATAACAAAGGCTGAGCCTTTGTTATGGAGAGGTGCGGTTTGTGACTCAACCTGTAACAGGGAGACCACCACTAGACATGGTAAAACTGTGATGGTTGTCTGTCAAATAAGATTGGCAAATAAGTGTAGTTAAATCTTTTTTGCATGGTTAATCACATCTTTCCAATGATTACTCAGTTTGTAACCGTCATCACGGTTGAAATTATGTCTGTGTTTGTATATTTGTATGGCTTCGTGTACGAACCTTTGATGGTAGCCAGGAGGTTTGCAGAGAACCTTGATCTCGGAAAATACAATTTCATGAGAGCCCACCGAGTTGTAGCAATGATCGGCAACGGCCGAAGAATCAGTTCTGCCGTGTTTCAGATCTGACTTGTGCTCGCGGACACGATCAGAAACATGACGTTTCGTTTCTCCAATGTAGCAATCACCACAAATGCAACTCAATTTGTAGACTCCAGGATACTGTTAGTCAGGAACGACATCCTTCACAGATGGAATCAAATCACGGATTTTATGCACTGTACTGAATCGGACTTGGATCTTATGTTTGTTTAGAATTATGGAGATCTTTTTGGTCACGCCTGCTATGTATGGCAACTTGATCGTTTTGGTCGGAGTTTCATGTGGCTGTTTCTGTATGGTGGGAGAAACAGCTTGACGGATAGTGCGGTCAGAGTATCCGTTCATCCTGAGGGCCCGATGTACATGTCTTAATTCACCGGCCAGGTGGTGTTGGTCAGAAATGCCATGGGCTCTGTGGTATAGCGTTTTGATGAGAGAATTCTTTTGAGATGGGTGGTGGTGGGAATCCGGTTTCAAGTAGGAATCTGTGTGGGTGGCTTTCCTGTAGACAGAATGTCCCAAGGATCCGTCAGGCCTCCTCTCAAACAGAATATCCAAGAATGGTAGTTTACCGTCTTTCTCCACTTCCATGGTGAATCTGATGGATGGGTGTCTAGAATTGATGTGGTCCAAGAAGTGGTTCAATGCTGGGAGGCCATGTGGCCAGATGACGAAAGTGTCGTCCACATACCTCTTCCACAAGGAAGGACGCAGGGTGGATGTCTGGATGGCGTCTGATTCAAACTTTTCCATGAACATGTTGGCTATAACTGGTGACAAGGGGGAGCCCATAGGGGTACCCTCATTCTGTTTGTAGAAGGTGCCATTCCAGGTAAAATAAGTGTTGGTGAGGCAATGCCTAACCAGCGCAGGTACATCAGAATTCAATCCATGTTGGACTAAGTCCTCAATTATTGTTAGGGTGTCCGGTACTGGGACTTTGGTGAACAAAGATACTACATCAAAGCTGACGAGGATGTCATCAGGAGATAGTACCATGTCCTTAACCATAGAGACTAATTGGGTTGAGTTGAGTACTTATTTGACAGACAACCATCACAGTTTTACCATGTCTAGTGGTGGTCTCCCTGTTACAGGTTGAGTCACAAACCGCACCTCTCCATAACAAAGGCTCAGCCTTTGTTATGGAGTCTATTTTTAGTCTTAAGCCTCACCTTACCATATTAATAAAAGTATGCGGCCCTTGCCCCACCACCTTCTCCAACCATTATATAAACGGAGTGGTAGCTTCTGCAATCTCTCATTTACTTGATACAGCTGTCGTGGCTGTGACGGTACCACCTGAAGACGGAAGCTTGTGTTGCCTCCGAAACGTCGTGATTTTTATTTTATTTAACTTTTTAATGTTTTTTACCTACGTGACTTTACCGAAAAAACCTAAGAATATGAATCATTGCAGTCACGAAAGCTTCAAATCTAGAATTAGCTTAGTATTCTTTTATATATATTGTGGAAGTAATCGCAACTCTTTCTTCAGTCACAATACCATCAGTGGACTCTCCCATCTGATTGTTAATTTCCCAACCAACCCTTCTGGCTGATGTGTTCAATGAATATATTTGTCACAATTTGTTTAAAAAGAACCACAATTCTACGGACATCTTGTCTACAAACGTGGACGTTGTATGTATTTAAAACCTCTTTCGCACCATATATCGCGGTAATACGTGGGCCAAGACCCTGCAACATCAATTTCATACAAAGACTTTCATGACCAATATTCATGATTCACAATTAGTTCATGCTGGGTTCGATTGTCGTGAAGATATAGTGTTAATTTGTTTTAACGATAAGCATCCAACACCCGAAAGAGCCAATCGGGTAAGGTTGTTAAGTCATGGGGCAACTACGTCGATGATTTTGGTTTAATTAGCAAAACCCGAATATTGAAAGGCAAGCAAAAAAAAATGTTTACATCAATATTAATAAATAATATATTACTTATTTACATTTCACTTAAAAAAACAATCTATTGACATTCGCCCAATTGACAACATGAATGACTGATATTATACCTGCACGATGATCGGACCCACAATGAACGAATCATGAATCATTACAACGTTGCTCTCTGCCTTCTGAGTTTGACTTTTATGCACCGCACCCCTCCCCACCACGCCCTCTGTATGAATGGTTTCACCACACAGTTGGTCGGGAGGTCGCGTGTGGCGACTCTAACGTGTGGGTATTCAGATATCTTTCCAAGACGTCTGGCAAGCTTGCAGAGAGGAGGCCAAAAATACCACGAGAGAGGGAATGTTGCCGAGCTCGTCTGCCAGCAGTGGAGTGAGCAAGCTGGGGAAGAGACACACTTCCAGAAGCAATTCATGATGAATACAACATGCACTCGACGTGAATTGGACACAATATTCCATCGAGAACTCAGAGGCGAAAGGTCAAAGTCCCTCATACACCACTCTGAACCAGGTGAGAGCCTGGACGGTTGAGACCCTAGATAGTTGAGAGCATCACGACGTTTCGATTGAAACGTCGTGATTTGTTTTATTTTATTTTATTTCTACCTACGTGACTTTACCGAAAGAACAAAAGAGTATGGATTCCTGCAGTCACGAAAGCCTCAAATCAAGGTGAGAGCATTGACAAATGAGAGTCGGGTTCTTGAAGGTGGATGATGCTGGTTTGGGTGTAGTTGCTGCTGCTCCTGCGTATGCAGCAGTGGGAGATACAGAGAGAGAGAGCTGGTACCGGCTGTTGGTACGATGAGCCGGTTACCTTCTAACAAGCAGACGTCCCCTCTCCCATTTGTCGGTGCAGGCGAGGACCGCTGGCTGTGCACGCTGATGCTGCAGCAGGGCTGGCGCGTTGAGTACTGTGCCGGATCGGACGCCTACACCAACGCCCCGCAGGAATTCAAGGAGTTCTTCAACCAGCGGAGGCGTTGGGGCCCCTCCACGATGGCGAACACCTTCAGTATCCTGGAAAATGGCATCCGCACAGCCAAGAGGAACCCGTCCATCTCTCGGCTCTACATTCTCTATCAGATCATCTACACGGCCACCTCCATCATGGGTCCGGCCACCGTCTGTCTCATGATTGCAGGTGACTTCGGGTTGTCACATTTCCTGTTTTTTTTTTACCCGGGTTCATCCTTTTGATGCAGGGACTACATCAAAAGAGACGGCGCCATGGTGGAGAGGTGTTAACTCCCTCGCCTGGTATACAGGAGGTCGTGAGTTCGAACTCGACCCTGACGCCTGTATATTTGGAGTTCGCATGTGTCTCCTCGTGGTCGTGTTGATTTTTTCCGAGTTCTCCGGTTTTTCTCTCCACGTTTAGAATCAACATCACGCGTTTAGAGTATTTGGCTGCTATAAGTTTCCACGTAATAAGCCACTACGTTCAGCTATAATTTGTGGCCAAGTTGCTTATGAAAAAGAGCTACATAGCTCAGTGGGCATGGCTTCAAGTCGTCACTCACAGTTGTTCTTTCCACGATATTTTTTTTTGCAATATTTTACGATAACAATTGGGCATTATTGGGTGTTTAACACACATAGCCTCAAAGTGAGCGGTTGTGTTAATCCTCTCATCATAACGTATGCGCACTGCTTGCGTGTTAATAATATTGCGATTCGTATTGCTTGTGTACCGGGGTATTCAAACTGCTGCATGTTTCTTTCAGCCAAATATTCTTTACACACAGGCTGCACGACTCTGTTCATCTGAGTGCACACTTTGCTTTACAGCTGATTGAACGGTTGTCGTTGTCAATCATGGTGATGATGATGGTGGTAGTGGTGGTGATGATGATGGTGATGATGGTGGTGGTGATATTGATGATGGTGGTGATATTGATGATGGTGGTTGTGGTGATGAGATGATAATGATGGTATTCAGCTCGTGTGGTATTTGTCTCGTGCCGGTGCTCAGGTTGCTTCACCTTCGTTTTCAAAATCGACCAAAACTGGGCACTCCTCATCGCCATCGTTCCGCCCGCTCTGTACATCGCCGTCTGCTTCAAAACGAAGCCCGACACGCAGATCAAGGTGGGCGCCCACGCTTTTCCTGCAGAAGCACGTGGCACTCATTACACACAACGTGTTTGCCACAAATGAGCCACAATGTACGTACGTAGCCAACCTTGCTCTTCGGAGGTGCAGGTGACGGATAACAAACTAAACACAAAAAGCAGTCTTAAAGAAATACGTTTGAAATCTATATGATTTAAAAGTGCAAAGCTAAAGTGGCTTCCTAACATCGGAAGGAATATCGTTCCAGACGACCAAAGCAGCGCATCTGAAAGCGTGCGATGCGGTAACTGTCTTTGTTCGATGGCTAGCCACAAGCCGCTGCGAGGATAACTGGAGTTAACGTGATTGTTTATGCTCCTTGACGTGGTTATCAAGGTATTGTAGTTCATTTGTGGCACGCTCTTTTTGTGTTATGAGTACGACCTTATAACAAAATATTTGGTCGGCAACTGGAAGCCAATGCAGCTCGGCGAGCACTGGATGGACATGGTCGGATCTTGCAATACCCGTCACAACACGTGCCAACGTCCCATAGAGCGGTGTGTTGCAATAATTGTGTCTTATCGATACTATGCTACACATCACCAAGTGGTTATGTCACTACTCAAGAGTGGTCGAATGTGTCGTAGAGCCCTGTTATAAAAAATTACAGGACTTGACTACATTTTGCATGGTGATCACCTGACATATTCTGGTCGAGTGACGCCGAGGCTGTTTAGATTAATCATAAACTGAATCCTTGAGTCTGCGACTGCTACACCTGATCCTCGCACAATTTCGTTTCATGCAAACCACACGTGCACCGCTCGCTTGCAATCTTCAAGACTGCCGAGGCTCTCCATATTTAACTTGGACTTCATTGCAATTGTGAGTCATCAGCATATATATATAACTGAATATTACGCGATGAGATGACATCGGCGATCGGAGAGACATATTTTGAAAATTAAAAGGGCCTGAAGGTGGACCCCTGTGGTATGCCGACTAGGCACGGCATAGGTGATGACTGTTCGTCACCCAGCTTGAAGAAATGTAATCCACCATACAGGAATGACTCAATCCACTCTAGTGCCAAACCCGATGCAGCGAATCTTGACATTATCTACTCAATGAGTATCTCATGGTCAATCGTGTCGAAGGTGGCTGAGAAATCGAGGCCAACCAATGCTGCGATGCACCGGTCATCCATGATCTTGTAGAGGTCATCAGTGATCTCTAGTAGAGTGATCTCAGGGCTGTGGAATTGTCGGTACGCCGACTACAACGGGTTAAATTTGCCCATCGCAGTGACGTGGGGAAGTTACCGCTTCAGACTCAAGTGCTCTATGACCTGTGAAATTGTACACAGGTTTGAGATTGGGTGATAGTCTGGGTGGTCACTATGGCTCAAGCCAACTTTTTCAGAAGCGGTGTTACCTGTGCCATTTTGCAATGGTCTGGCAAAACAGCCCTCGCTAAATGAAATATGTGCCAGGTGGACAATCAGTGGCGCAAGTACGTCCAAACATAATTTGAGAATTTATATCTGGACGGAGTCGAGCGGCGATGTCTTATTTGGCAGCTGTGCAATGAACATTGACACTTCTGCTATCGACGATGGTGCCAGGGTCTCGAGTTTTGCATTGGTTATCAGGTTGATCAAACTCACATGACAGCCCGGGAGAATGTGTTGCCTGCAATTTAAAAAACTGCCGTCTTAATCATCACTTCATTGGCGAAGAACGTTGCAAGTATTGTACACAGACCGGGCTGACTGGTTGATGGGGTTGGAGTGCAACAGACCCTTCACAACGCGCCACAGAGCACGGGGTCGCGAACCGACTAATTGCTGCACAGACTATAGAACGATCAGCGAGACTCAATAATGAGCCAGTTTTCAAATCTGTAGGCGGCTCTGTAAGCGAATCGGACAGTCTGGAAACTAGTTTTCTTTCAAAGCCACCCCAGCCTCCTCCGCGTCTGCTTCACAGTATCGCCTCAAGTGACAGTAAGTCACTTCGTGCTTTCCCGTTTTCTGTGTGCTTGTTTGGATGGACACAAGTTCATTAAGAATAGCGATGATGTGATGTTCGAATTGAGCTGCAAATGAATAGACCGTCGATGCATTATTCAGACGCGCCAATGATGACCGGATCTTCTGATGGAAAGCATCGTGGGTTAGTCATTTTCAGTTCCTGTATGATATCGTTGTGATGGGTGGGCGAATAATTTGTAATACCACTTTGCACGTCACAAGACTGTCATCTGAAATGCCCACGTCTTCGATAAGAACGTCGTTTAAAGTTACGACGTTGCTGTATGTGAAGATGTGATCCAGTATACTTCCTGAGCGACATGTTGCGCCGCTGACGTGCTGGGTAAAACTGACTGTCAAACATTTCGGCAGGATCACTGTTGATTTTACCATAAGAATCAGTCAGTCCTGGACAGTTCAGGTCACCACAGATGATGTAGCGAGAGCCAAAAGTCCCATAGTCTCGCAGACCAGAAAGCTAGGAAAATAATTCTGACAGCTGTGAAGTCGACAGTCGATACACGACAGCGATTGTAAGCCCCCACATGCTCTTTGTTATTGTCACAAGCAGCAGCTCGAATTATTTGATTGATAATGAGTCGCTCAGGACTTTCACGCAGATTTCTCCATGGTGAATCAGTGCGACCCCATCACCATGTGAATTGCTGGTGTCAGGCTTCCCGCGACGGTGCTGATGTGCAATAGCATATCCGTTAGGTGCAGCCTCAAGCTTAATTACGTCCGATGAATCGTCATATATCCAGGTTTCGGTAATGGCCAATATGTCGAGTCCACAATCGTTGATAATATCCTGGATCAGCACCGTCTTGTTAACTATGAAGCGTGTGTTGATCAATCCAGCGGCAGTATTTAGCCCCATCCTGGACGCGCGTTCATTCTCTTCCTTTCACTTCTTTCAATAAGCTCCCAAATCTCTTGGATCTTCCTCCCCTTTACCAATGAGCTATCATTATTTTGTTGTTGTTTGTAAAGTGCAGGGCCTTGAGTACCTTGTGGAAAAGTGCGGAATAAATGCAAAGTAACTCCCAAAAAGTGGTGGTGGTTGGACAAAAAGGACGATGGTGACGCCGATGAATAATGTCTCCTCCATCGTCCTGCAGGGGTGCGGCGATGGCGAGATGTTAACTCCCTCGCCTGGTATACAGGAGGTCGTGGGTTCGTTCCTGATCCTGACCCTGATGCCTGTTATGTATTTGGAGTGCACGTGTTCTCTCTCTCTCTCTCTCTCTTCCCTCCACATTTAATCTGGCTGCTGCTATACATTTCCACGTGATGAGCCGCTTCGTTGAGCTATCATTTGTGGCAAGGTGGCTTCTGAAAAGAGCTTTATACCTCAGTGGGCCTTACCTGGTATTTTTTTTTAAGGTGGCCATGGTACTCACCGTGATCTACATGTTCCTCATGACGGGCACGCTGCTCGCTATGGTCGGCGACATTGTCAAGAACGGTATCCTCACGCCCAGCGGCATCTTCTTCATCACTCTCGCGGGCATCCATCTCATCGCCGCGGTGCTGCACCCGCGCGAGTTCTCCTGCATCGTGCACGGATTCTTGTACCTCATCTGCATCCCCACGGGATACCTGCTGCTGCTCATCTACTCGCTGGTCAACATGTACAATGTATCATGGGGCACGCGTGAGACCAAGGCGCCTTCTGAGCCCTCCCCCAAGGAGGTGAGTTACTGTGTGTGTTATCGTTGTTGTTATTGTGTCGAACGTTATTTGGAGTGTCGCTCCATTGTCCTCTGTTGCTACGTCCTGCACGTCTGATTAGCACGATTGGCTACGTACAGTGCAAAATAAGTGTAACATATGACCCCCCCCACCCCCGCCAACACGAAGGCAGAGATCCCGTGTAACCTTTAACCGATTGTTGGGGCAAGTGCTGTTAACGAGTAGTGCCTGTGAAGTCCGGAATGACACACAAGGGGGTGGGTGGCCAGCACCACGCCCGGCCGCCTTTGTCTCCATTGTTGTGATGTTTACTACACCACATTGGCTATTTATTTTTAAGGCTGAGTCAATCTAGGGAAGGCCAAGGACCGGTTCAGATGTATGTATGTTGAACTTCTTTCACACCGTATGTAGCCAACCATGCTAATTGGAGGTGCGAAGGAAGGAAAGCCTCTAAACACAAAAAGCAGTTTTTAAGAAATTAATTTTCAATGTAAATTATTTAAAAATGCAATAGCTCCAATGGCTTCCTCATATTGGAAGGAAGAGGGTTCCAGATGGATGCACAAGCGCACCCAAAAGCACGCGATGTGGTCACCGTCTTTGTTCAATGGTTAGCCAAAATCCTCTGGTGAGAGGATAACCGGAGTTTGCTCAATTATCGTTTATGTTTATTGACAACAACGGTGGTGGTGGCTGTGCCACTCGTGTCTATTAATCCAGCACGATGGTTATCCAGGAGAAGGCATACACTGGCTTGCCAGGAGAATGCAGTATGACCATTGTGGACTCTATCTGTTCCATCTGAATTGGACGGAATGTTTTCCCATCGCATTTGTGGGTTTTTTACATGGTGTTCTGGTTTCTTCTTGGCCAATAAAACCTTCATACATGGAGGATCGCAGAGCTTGGACATTTATTTACACCAGTTCACTGAGCAGCTGAAGCTGTCTTCCAGCTTGTGTGCGGTTCCTGCTGGTTTGATATCATTGAAGGACCCTGCCCGAATGCACCAACACAATGCCCATCCCCCTGTCCCAGCAGAAGAAGAAACGCAAGCATCATTGCAATGGAACGAGATGCTGTGTGCTGCCACTCGAGTGGGACTGCTTCCAGTGGAGAATCAGCGTCTATCCGAAGGAATACTCGGCGCTGAGTCAGGAGGAAGACAGTTCAAGGTGCCACCACCTCACTCAGAGCCTGTAGCCATGCTTTTAACTTTGCTCCTTACCTCTCGTATATCGATAGTTCAATGTTTATGTGCCATGTTATTGAGGGACTGTGTGTTATCTTGGTGTGGTTTGGGACTGTTGTTTTGCTGCCTTGCCCCAAGTTTGCATTTAGCATTGGAAAATAGGCAGTAACTGATGTACTAATGCAAACTCTTTGGTTCTTTCGGTAAAGTCACGTAGGTAGAAATAAACCAAAATTAATCACGACGTTTCGATAGCTACACAAGCCATCGTCTTCAGGTGAAAATCGCGATTGCCGTGATGTCTGCTGCGAGCAGCACGATGTCTGCTGCCTTGTGAAGAGAATCTGTTACCAGCTAGAATTTATATACGTTTTGAGAATAAAGGTAGCCAAAGTATTGTTAATGGGGTATTATAGTGTAAAGGTAATAAATAGCGTGGCATGTTAAAGGAAATTAACTTAGATTAGCATGTTGGATAATAGTGCAAAGTTAATGAGCTTCCATAGCGCATAAGAGCTCAGATTATCAAGTAGGATTAGCATATGAATTTTGATGAGAGAAGCATGTAAAAGTTAATGAAAAAATTACAATCTTAGGCGCCGTGGTGGCTAGATGTTAACTACCTCCCCCTGGTATGCAGGAGGTAGTGGCTTCGATCCCAACCCTGACGATGCCTGTTGCCTATGTGGAGTCTGCGTCTATTCTTTTCTCTCCCCATGTTGGTGTGGATTTGTCTCCGTGTCCTCTGCTTTTTCCCTCCTCATTTAGAATAACTACGCGATTAGAATATTTGGCTACTGTTATTTCAACGTGATAAGCCGCTCATTGAGTTATATTTTGTGATATTCAGGTCGATTCTGCAAAAAAGCTGTATAGCTCAGTGGGCCTTACCTGGTATAATAAAAATAATAGTTTAGTTTAACAGTTTATCATCGTCCCTCCCAGCCGAGTGGAGTCGTGCGCAGTGGAACTCGACGGAGAGATGATGCTGCGTCCACTTGAGGCCAGACAACAGGACACCACGAGCACTCAGATGGAGCATCCAAAAGGAATAGAGAGTGAGGAGAGACGACAGGGCATCGCGAGCACTCGGACGGAACATCCAGAAGAAGCAGAGATCGAGGCGAGAGGAGAGGATGTCGCGACCACTCAGATAGAGCATCCAGAAGGAGCAGAGATGAGACCAGAGGACATCGCGAGCACTCCGACAGATCATCCAGAAGGAGTAGAGAGTGAGGAGAGACGACAGGGCATCGCGAGCACTCGGACGGAACATCCAGAAGAAGTAGAGATCGAGGCGAGAGGAGAGGACGTCGCGAACACTCAGATGGAGCATCCAGAAGGAGCGGAGACAAGACCAGAGGACATCGCGAGCACTGAGACGGATCATCCAGAAGGAGTAGAGAGTGAGGAGAGACGACAGGGCATTGTGAGTACTCGGACGGAACATCCAGAAGGAGCAGAGATCGAGGCGAGAGAAGAGGACATCGCAAGCACTCAGACAGATCATCCAGAAGGAGCAGAGAGCAAAAGTCGACCTCCAGAGGAATCAGACACAGACCTCGCCCTCCATGCCAAAGGTAATATTTTCATCAAACAAAGGCGAAGTCATTGCTTGTCAGTTAAACAAGACTGCGCATCTGAAATCACGCGATTCGGTGACCGTCTTTTTTCGATGAATGGATGAACGAAGTTTGTGTGATGGTTTATGCTCCTAGACGCGATTAGCAAAGTATTGTGATTCATTTGTGGCAAGCACTCTGTAATGAGGGCATGTTGCTGCTGCTGCTGCAGTAGAAGCGTGGGAGATTGTGTATTCTCTCCCCCTGTTCTGCATGGGCATGATCCGGGTTCTCCAGTTTCCTCCAATGTGTAATTGGAATTGGCCAAAATTTAACACTTCTGAAAAAAATACCTGCAAATCACTCAATTGGGACCGTACTCAGCAGCAACATCACCCCTCTACTACTGTAACTTTGCAAGACCCTCATGAAGACAGAGCCTTGCGACTCAATAAGGCTATCTTGCAGGCTAAACCAGCCTAACGATGAGAATAATCACTACCGTCTGCGCAACTGTCTTCGCTGAGTCACGGTAAACGTTTTTCCCGAGCCTCTGTGGGAGCGCACCGCACATCGCTGACCTCCTTTATCCCCTGCAGGGCGCCATGACCTCGTGTGGCAGCGCCACCAGAAGATGCAGCTCATGTTTGAGAAAGTTCTGCCTCAGGGTTACGTCATCATGCAGAGGTGCAGCCTCGATCAGGTGCGTCCTTGTGTCTGTGTCTCGATGTCTGTGTCTTTGTGTCTATGTGGCTTTCAGTCTGTGTCTGTGCATCACTGGTGTCTGTGTGTTTTTATGTCTGTGTGTCGGTCTTTGTACGTGTGCTATGTATACGTTGTGGGGAACGGCTGCGCAGTGGTTAACACACTGCGCTTAGAAACTAGCGACCTGAGTTCGATTTCCGCTCAGTCACCAACACCAGTGACAATTATCTGAACCGGTCTTAGGTCTCTGCTAGGTCGACTCAGCCTCAAATGAGTACCTGGTGTAGTGTATAAATATCCCAACTGAAGAGACAAAGGTGGTGCTGGCCACCCACCTCCTCGTGTGCCGTGCTGGCCTTCAGAGATGGTCACTAACAGCACGTGCCCCAGCAGTCTGTTAAGACTACACCGGGGATATTTTATCTTTGTCCTGCTACACGTGGTTGGTGGATCACACTCTGAGATGATGTCGTGAATTTACTATCCAGTAGGCGTCAGAAAGGAGAGGGCGGTACAGCAAATGTGGACTCCACCTGTTCTGTCTCTATGGGATAGAATGTTGCCCCCTCACATGCGTGCATTTTCTCCAGTTGCTCCGGTTTCCTGCCACATGTGAACCATCATTAATTGACCGGGAACACGTTTATATACAGACGACTGCAGAGCTTGGGCAATTGTTGGTAGCACCGTCTAATGGTGTGCATTGCTGCTGCCTTCCCATCTATCTGTGATTCCTCCTCGTGACTCTAAGTCACTCCCTATGTCTCTCTTCAAAAGCGAGCAAATAACTGTGCAGTGATGGGGCATTACAAATTAACATTAATTATTAATCGGAGTAAGTTGTTGTTATTTGAACAATCGCACAAAGTGAACCTTCTGTCTGGGAATGGATAGGAGGAAGATGAGTTCTGGAAGAGCATGATCAGTGACTACCTCAAGCCTCTGGAGGAAGACGACGATCACAGGAAGCGCGTGAAGCAGGAACTCTTCGAGATAAGAAACAAGGTACTGGCGATGCATCATCGCGAGTATTGGAGATGCTTCAATAACAGAAGAATTGCGTTACAGCGACAACGCGTTGTGCGAACACCAGGCATTAAGCGGGTACTTATCGTACTTGGTATGTGGTAGAAGAAGTTTTAAACGACATTGTATTACGTATGCCTTATTATTCCTACGAATTAATTGTTAATTGTTCCAATAATCCGCTAATCCTTTAACCTATATTAACAATAAAACAATGACAACAGACGTGACCATTTGGCGTCGGGAGTGGACAATGGGGGAGGAAATTGAATGCACAAAGGGGGGGTCCCTAAACAGCCCCGGGTCACCCCCCCCCCCCCAGCCTGCCAATGCCATGTAAATCAGGCATGGTCTGTTTGTCCCAACGTGCAGGGCACCTTCGTCTACTTCATGATCAATGCACTGTGGCTGGTGGCGACCCTGGCACTGCAGTTCGTGGGAGCCGACCTCTACATCCACATCCCGAGCATGAAGAACGAGGGGACGGTCATCGACGTGCCGCCCCTCGCCTTCATGTTCCTCATCATCTTCTCCAGCATGCTCATTGTCCAGTTCCTGGCCATGCTTTACCACAGGTGAGAAGGAGGGGGGGGGGTAGACTCAACAACAGTGACGATTATCTGAACTGGTCCTGGACCTCCCCCCTTGTGCCGTACCGGCCTTCATAGGTGCCACTCGCTGACAGCACTTGCCCCAACAGTATCTTAAGGCTATACGGGAGATCCTTGTCTTTGCCTTTGTGTTAGTGTAGGCAGTGTCCTTATGACCAGCTCCGGTTTCGCAGCCGAGGTCTCACTCCGAAACAGTCGGGCAGCATGATATTTTCATTGGCTGTGTAACACTGGGTGGAAACTACTTGGTCTGTCATTCCATACGAAGCTCCGTATTTTCTTTGACCACATTGATGTCCTTCCTTCTTTATTCTTTCGAGAAGGATGTTGTGGCATCTAAAGTAACATCTGCACCGGTTAGAAGCATTGAGGCTCACCCTGCCAACAATGCATCCTGAGTTTAACCAGACTGGATTGTGTCAGGAGCTCACAGATTCTTAATATATGTGGACACATTCCCATTGGTGAGCTCCTCTGGCAATCGTGGCTGTGTTGGCTGGGTCATGTAGCCCCCATGCCCAGCCACCGCATGGCAAAGCAGCTATTGTTTCATAGGATAGAGCACACTTAAAGGGCACGGCATGGGCGAGGGAAGAAAGTAATTATACGGTACAGGAGGATATATAGAGATGACTGGACTTGCCAATAACTTGCCAATAACTGGTACCAGCGGTGTCAAGATCGGCCTCTATAGAGGAGGCTCCTGAAGAGATGCTACTTGGCAGTTGGAGGCAGTTGCCCACCAGCAATACTGGAGGGCAGAGGTGCGATGCTCACATCCATAAGCAGAGCGCTAAACACAAGTTTGCACCGTAGGGGGCACAGATGGTGCATTGCCAGTTATCTCAGTCAACCATTGGCCTCTGGGTCTGTCCCGTTACCTTCTGACATTTCGCCACCATGGTGCCCCGTGCACCCCCCTTCCCCTCCGTGCCCCCCCCCTCCGCCCCCGTTCAGGTTGTTCACACTGCTGCACGTGCTCTCCTACGTGAAGTCGTCGTCGTCAGGCCAGCAGTCAGGGAGGGGTGCTGTTGGCCAAGACAACAAAGCATTCGTCAACGATGGAGACGACAATGACGACGGTCAGCAGTGCCGCCTCGGAGAGATTGTCTAACAGATCCCTGGACCCCCTCCTCGCACACTGCACGTGGACCCCCTACCCATGCACGTCGTGGTTTATCAATGACGGTGCGGTCGGTAAAGGTGCAGCCCTGCAAGATGCTTCCCTTGTTGCCACCACCGGCAGAAGGGCCTCTTGCTACACGGAGCTCTAGAGAGAGCCCTCTCAAGTGGTGTATTAGGCCTACGCTTCCATGCTGACCAGATGTCTTGGTAGAGGTGGGAGTTACCCACGCTTTACCCCACCACCGCACGTGACCTGCCGATCGATCAACTATGCTGTATCCATTTACACAGCTGGGTGGACAGAGGCAGCGAGATTTAAGAAGCTTGCAGCGTCGCTCCAACTGTCAGGCCTGGAGATCGACCTCTAGATCGCAAGTGCCGTGACGTGTTCATTGCAGCAGGGCAGCCTCTCATTACAATAGAATGCAGTCAAGAGGGCTGCTGTACAACAACGGTGGACATCCCTTGTGATTTCATCGGCTGAAGCAAATGTAGGGGCTTTGAAGATGCTCATGGCCACGGACAGAGAAGTCGCTTCTATGTAGTAGTGGTCAGATGAAGGAAACGTCCTGTTGTTGTTTGTATGTTGAACTTATTTTGCAACGCACTTAGCCAACCATGCTATCGGGGATGTAAACATCACCCCCACCTAGACTGCCCCGTTAACCATAGCAGTTTATCAAATCACATTTGTATGCCTGATTAATTTAGAGGTCGAGCAACCCACATGGGAAATCTTGTTTTTCGAAAGGTTTCTCAACCAAACAACACAGAAAACGATTCCTCGTATCGCTTTAATAGACTTATGGAGCTGTTAGTGAGCACCTAATAACGGCCGGCACAGCACACAAGGTGGGTGGCCAGCACTAAGTCAAACTGCATTGCCGCACCAGGTTCTCATTTGAGGCTGAGTCGACCTAGAGGAGGCCGAGAACCGGTTTAGATAATCGCCACTATTGTTGGTGGCCATGGGTGGAAGTCGAACTAGCGTCCCAAGGTTCAAATACTTGTGCAGGGCTATGAAGATGAGTTTTATTCCATGTTCATTGATGGTCAGATATATATGCCTACATATATTTTTAGATATTTATAATACTCTTTGGTTCTTTCGGTAAAGTCACGTAGGTATAACATAAAATAAATCACGACGTTTCGATTGCAACACAAGCAATCATCATCAGGTGGGAAAACCACAGCAAGAGAAAATGTGGCTGAAGTGGGAGAGAGATGCTGTGGTAAGAGGTTATATAGGTAAGAAAGGGGGGCGGGGCAGGGGGGAGAGAGAAGGGGGGTGTGGGGTAGGGTGAGGGGAGCGTTGCGTGGACGCTCGGAGAGAGAACGTAAAGCTGGACGGGGGGAATTGGGCGGGGCTAGAAATGGGAGGCCGAGAGAGCTGGCGATGCATGGGGGAAGTTAACTCGGAGAGGGGGGGGGAGCTGCGTGGACGCTAGATTGATATTTATAATGTTGTTTATTTACAGAGATGTAGAGTTACATTGAGACTGTATGGATAAATAAAACAAGACAGAGAAGAAGCAGTCATCCATTCAGAGCACCACTATTCAGATAGCTTCCCCTAAATACTGTATTGTATTGGAGATGTGAATGCATAATTTTAATGCTAAGGCAATGATTCGCTGCTAATTGCCGCTGAGAATATGTTCTCTCCCTCGCCCGGTACACAGGAGGCCATGGGTTCAATGCTGGACCCTGGCGGTGCCTTCTGTTATTTTTTTGGAGTCCGTGTGTTCTCTCCCTGTGGTGGTCAGAGCTTGGGTTTTTCTCCGGGTTCCTTGGTTCAGATGATTAGGCCGCTGCTATAAATTCCCACGTGTGGCGATATCAGCTACTGCGATCATGAGCTATCATCACGTGTGACCAGCTCACCTATGAACAAGAGCTAAGAGCACAGTTGAGTTTAACTGGTAAATAAAACTGTGAATTCCCTTGCACCTTCTGAGGATGGTAGTATCTTGGCCAACAGAGCACTTACCAAACGCTTAACGATCCAAACCTTTGAGGTCTACGCTTCGCTGGGCGCGTATAGTGGTTAAGCACACGCCAAGCTCTCTGTGTCTTTCCGGTGGATACGTTGTCGGGCTGGTCCCATGGTGTCTGACACGTGGAACAGCACGAAGGCGTTGGTGGTGAGTGGCTAAACGTGCACTCTTCCCCCATCCCCCCAGATGAATGTAGGTTACACTCCTCTGCTTTGTAATACATCCTACAGGCTCTTTTAGTTTACAACGTCGCGATTTATAGCTTTTGTTAAACTTGACAAGATTACGTTTTAGTTCATGGCAATGAGAATAGAGTTCGTTTGTCGTAGAACATATTTGCACGATGCTATTTAAGTAAATTAACATGCAATGTAGTAACACAGCACGTACTGATTATATACACTTTATTGACTATTGTGTTTTACTTTGCACAAATAAAGTTTACTGAACCTCTGCTGTGCCGTTATCAATCATGTATTCTCGACTGCTTGCATAGTGATAATGGCGCAGCCCTGCAATGAATCACCCCTCCGGGCGATTGAAACAGCCTGCCACCTACAGATTGCGCAACAGCGTCCCACACCACTGCCAGCGGCGTTTGAACTCGGTCGTTGGTGTAATTTGCATTGTTATCTGGAGTAAACCAACCTCAAATCTACACATCGCTGGGTTCACAGTTTAGCGCGCTAATCAATACCGCACCACCCACTTTAGCATTGCCACATCCAAATAAATAAATAATTACGTATGCATCAACTGCTTGAAATAATGCCACATCGTGTAGTCATCGTGTCGACATTTAGAGAGGCAGCCAGGTTGCTCAGAGATCAGTGGTGGACTGGTACCATTGAGAAGCTGGGTTCAACCCCGTCTACCGAAACGGAGCTTTTTTTTTACCAGGTAAGGCCCACTAAGCTATACAGCTTTTTTTAAATAAGCGACCTGGCCACAAATAATATCTCAACGAAATGGATAATCAATCACGTGTAAATTTATAGCAGCAGCAAATACTCTTAACGCACGTTGATTCATAATATTGAGAACAATCCCAGTTACCACGAAGAGAGAGAGACATGCAATCACCAAATATATGTAGGACTTGAAAGGACACGCGCCACGTGTTTGGTTGCGATGCGAGCGTGCAGCGGACAGTGGGGGCAACTGAGGATATAAGTTGTTGTTGCGCCAATTAAGGGGTGAGGTCATTAAGAGACGCCACAGGTGTTAAGGGTAACTGAGGACGCAGGCTGGTGATTGGTCGAGAGGGTGAGTGGTTGATGACTGGCGTCGGGGTGGCGACGATAACAGGATCACGTGAGGCTGGGGGCCTGGGGGCGAGTAGCGAAGCGGGGGATGACATAATTAATTGGGGCTGATTGGTTCGGGGATAAAGACAGTGAGCGTATGGAGATACGAGAGTCATTGTTAGTGTTGGAGTCGCAGTTGGAGTTAGAGTTGGTTCCTGGGACAAGAGTGTATAGTATAAGGTAGCAGTGGACAAGAGTGTAGAGTATAAGGTAGCAGTGGACAAGAGTGTATAGTATAAGGTAGCAGTGGACAAGGAGAATACAGTATACGGTAGCAGTGGATATAGAGAGTACGGACAGAGTAACAAGGACGGAGCGAGTACAGCGTAGCGAAGCAGCGGAGTAACGGACCTTGGTGGAGAGAGAGAGAGCGAGCGAAGCAGCAGAGCGAGCGAACGGAGGGACATCGAGTGGGGCTGATGGAGAATTGTACATTGAAGAGTATGAAGGAACACTGAACGATGCTGTCGGAGATGTGAACTATATGCGAAATAAAAGGAACGAGAAAGACAAAGAAGTTGTCGCGTCAGTAAGAGTCCTACATATACAACAGGCATAGTAGGCGAGTTAGTTAACATCTCCTAGTCACCGTGGCGCCCTGCCTGTAGACTGGTAGGGCTCTCCCGGTGTAGTTGGCTGATGGCCTCAGCCCCGGTCATCAACGATTCACAGACGGATTGCTAAAAAAACAAATAAATTGGTATTTGTTCCCACGTGACCACTTGAGTTGATTTGCTCTGACGGATGGTGGAGAGCATATCTGAATATCACCTTTATACTTAAACCATCTAACCCAAAGTAAACAGACAGTCCTCGACTTGCGAGCGTCCGACTTATGAATTCCCGACTTACGAACGCCCGCTTCCATGAAATATAAAAAAATATTAATTTAAAACGCGAACTCGCAATTGCAAACTGAACTGCCGGCTTACGAACCGTTCGACTTTCGAACAGGTCTCAGGAACGAACTAGGTTCGTAACCCCAATACTGCCCGTAAATAACTTTTGCTCAATAGGTTTGTGGTCATATATAGTTAATAATATTTGTTAACATGGGGATAGTAAATTCGTGTGACGTAGGTGCTGGATGTGGTCATAGCTGGGATCCTATTTTTTTCTATATAGAGCACCTTTGGTCAAGGCACGCTTTGCAAAATTTGAAAGCTGTAACACAAACAAAGTGATGTATATGACAAGGGGAGTAAGAAGGCTGAGGAATGAGTGACCCGAACAGAGGGCATGTGGCTTCATGCAAGAGATATAGAGACGGAACGGAACAAAATGTAACGGTGTGGGGAAGGAAGAGGAAGGGGATGGCGATGAAAAAGAGGTGAGGCCTTCAGAGAGGAACGGAAGGAGGTTATGGAGGTGGCCTGCTTAATGTTCAGGTATCTCTATTTACAAACGTTCGATTTTACGAAATTTCACGTTCATGCAATTGACAAATTACGTGATCTAATGCTGTACTGTGCTGTACGATTGTCACGAGGCCCCCATGGTGTCAGCCAGCGCTGTCTCCAACCCTCGGTACCCACTATAACTGTTTACCTGCTATTAAGTAGGGCATTGCTCGAAGCGTCGACAAATATATGCATGTCCTTTCAATGCATTGTTGTTAACGAGTGTGTTGTAGAGGGGTTAATTGACCATACTTCACCACGCTGGCCAAACCGGGTTGGTGGAGGTAGGTGAACATTGTATAAACGTGGAGAGCAAGGAAAGTACGGTACAACATTTGAATTCACACGCACAGTGAGGAACACATGCGTTGCCTCTGCCAGTGATCTCAGTCAACCCACCGCCCCTGGGTCTGTCCCGTGAACTCCTCTGCACCTAGCCTGGCACAGCAGTCAACCCATAGCACCTGGGCCTGTCCTGGAACTCCTACCAGTAGCAAGCCTCCCACACTGCAAGTTGACTCAAAGTGCACGTAGCCTGTCACAAACGCCGTGGTGACGTCACCACCACTTAATGGCGGATGGCGGCTGTTGTTGATGCACGATGGAGCAGAGTTCAGCCTCCAATGAGTAGGATGGTACGGTGTATGTGTGTATAAAGCATCAGCACTGTGGAGACAAAGGTGGCCGAGTGTGGTGCTGGCCAACCACTCCCTCGCGTGCCGTACCGGGCTTCGTAGGCACTTCTCGCTAACAGCACTTGCCCCAACAGCCTGATAGAGGCTATACAGAAGTCGTTGTCTTTGCAGTGGTTTGTGCACTGCATCACGGTCTCTGTGACCTTCATTGCACTGAGGTCCAGGTCGTTATAGGTCCAACCTTGACAAACGCCTTTCAACGTATTGCATTCTTCTCCAAATTATAAGACGAACCCCAAAATATACATATTTGGTCTCACACAAGACAAAGATCCCCCGTATAGCCTGAACAGACTGTTGGGGCAAGTGTTGTAAGCGAGCACCAATGAAGGCTGACACAGCACACGAGGGTTGGGTGGCCAGAACCACGCCCGAACGCCTTTGTCTCCCCAGTAGCTATGTTAACACATTACACCGTACCCGGCATTAATGTGGGGCTGAGTCGAAGTAGGGGAGGCCGTGAGCAGGAATTGAACTCGGGTCACCAAGTTCGTAGTGCCGAGCGCTGCTCTTCACAATAACAAAAAGTCGCCATTCGCCACTAAGTGGTGGTGACGTTACCATGACACTTGTGCCAGGCGATGTGCACTTTGAGGCTACGTGAATTGTCGAAGACCCTCTGACAGAAGGTCACAAGACAGACCCAGGTGCCATGGGTTGACTGACTGAGATGACTGGCAGATGCACCACCTGTGCCCCCTATTGTGCCAACTTCCTGTATTTTTTTCTGCCCGGTTAACCGCTCATTGTTGTGAGCGTCGCTCCTCTGCCCTCCACTGTTGTTCCCAGTAGCGTCTTCTAGGTGCACCTAGCCTGGCACTGCGCAGTAGCATCCTTCACGAGCCTCCTCGCTCGCTCTACA